GGTCATGCATAGACGGCTGGTATTTTGAAATTTAAATGAGTCAAGCTTAGATTAAACAGCACTGACAGGGGGGTAGTTATGTAATGACATAGTGGAGGGGTGAGGCGCAGGCGGTGGCCCACTGTTTTAAAATAGATTAGTGAAGGGGAATTTCAGGCTGTATTTAATACTGCTTCAGTCTCTCGACAATATGACAGCGTGAATTGTAATCCATTTGGATTTTAGGCTACCGGTATACACTTCGTTTTATCATTTAATTGAAAGAATTTTTTTGGGTACAATCCTGTTAAGCCAGTAAGATAGAAACAACGTTCTAAATTGGAAACTTTTGACCAAGTATCGCTGATACCTGTACCAAACCTAAACCTTACTCTAGCCTCAACGCGATTAGTTTAGGGGGGGGGGGGGGGTCTTTCAGAAATGGCGTCCATGTTAATCCAGGTCCCCTCCCCCACCACACCGTCTCTGGTATGGCTAATGAAGAAATGGTAAAAAAAAAATTGCTCTTTTACGTTGAAATTAAAAAATAAAAGCAAACATCATTGATGGTTAAATTTGCCAACCTACGACCCAAACGTGATGTCTGGTTGTTGAATTTTTTTTACCACAGCAATGGTGACCGGTGTCAGGTTGAATTTGTGCGCCCCTTTTGTTTTCTCGTGTTGTTTGCCCTCCACAACTACACGCTGTTCCGTTGGCTTTGGTTAACTTTAACAAGGGGGAGCTACTCTGTGCAAATTTTATCAGAGTTTTTGCCAAAGATTGACAGAAAGTCCTTAAAATTCATACTTGTATTATTAGTAGGCTTGTTATTATTAATTGTACTACATGTAAATTTGTCACTAATACTGAACGATTATTATCGCAATTACATTTGGGTTTTTTTTTCCCATCACGACTTTTTATTTTGAAACCGGTTATTATTTTTTAGAAACTGTAATTCATTTGTTTTTATTTTTTAACCTGAGTTCAATCCAACCCTAGGGGTATGGTGAGTCATTCTCGAGGGTTCGGAGGAGGTCAAGACATACCCGACTCATATGATTCACGATCGGATTTTTCAATGTGGACGAAATAACTATTAAGAAAGGTTCGGTGATTATGAATATGAAACTGGTGGGATTCGATACCTCGTTAAAGGCTAAGAATCACCGCTCTACCTATACTCGGTCTTTTTTTTTTTTTTTTTACCATAACCCTCTACTATTCTGTGGTCATTGGTTTGGGCGGACGTCGTGGCCTAACGGTAGAGCGCTACACTGTAATTCATTTGTTTTTATTTTTTAACCTGAGTTCAATCCAACCCTAGGGGTATGGTGAGTCATTCTCGAGGGTTCGGAGGAGGTCAAGACATACCCGACTCATATGATTCACGATCGGATTTTTCAATGTGGACGAAATAACTATTAAGAAAGGTTCGGTGATTATGAATATGAAACTGGTGGGATTCGATACCTCGTTAAAGGCTAAGAATCACCGCTCTACCTATACTCGGTCTTTTTTTTTTTTTTACCATAACCCTCTACTATTCTGTGGTCATTGGTTTGGGCGGACGTCGTGGCCTAACGGTAGAGCGCTACACTGCTTACCCGAATGTCTCGAGTTCGAATCCGGGTTAAACTCAGTAGAACGACACTGAGTCCACCTAGCTATGGTGGTTATTTAACTCACGTTTGGGAAAGTAAAGCTGGGCTGACCACACTATCCCTTCAAATGCCGAGGTCACAGAAACAGGTGAACTCTACTTCACTCGTCCCATGTACGGTCACCTTCGGAAATGGAACTTAATATTGTCTTGGTTATTTTATATTGTTAACAATTTAACATTCAGCGTGATATGTTAATGGTGCTAATTAAAGTACTGAGTGCAATTATACTGTGTGCTGTAGTACTTCTAATATTTTAGATTGCTAACAATTTAACATTCAACGCGAGATATTAATGGTGCTAATTAAAGTACTGAGTGCAATTATACTGTGCGCTGTAGTACTTCTACATGAGACGTCCGCCCACAAAGGACAGCGTGGCAGATGGTCAAAAAGTACTATTACTATTACAACAGTATCTCAATTTATAAGACGGATCAGACCCAAGTGTGCGCGCCAAGATTATATTGGGGTCAGGGGTCATCTTGACCCCTTCATAAGATGGGTCGCGTTGGCGGTAAAACAAGCGACAGGGTTATAAAGTGCCTGGGAGTTATATGGGGTAGGGGGGAGGACAGTGTTCCCTCACTGAAACCGACCCGCCATTTTGGTTTTGGACAGACATGTGACCTAGCATGTGATTAGACCCCGGGAAGTCCGGCAGGTGTTGTCGGCTGCTGCGGTCAAGAAAAACGTCTGTCTCCGGTTTAAGGTGACCCTCATGCTACACACCTCCCCCCCCCGCCTCTCCGCCATCTCTCAGTGCTCTCATGGTTTGCTAATTCTGAGGTTATAACAATGGTATACTCTCCAAAGCAAAGCTCTAGTAAGACAGTTGGCAAAAAACAAACAGTAGAGTAACTTTATTTAACAAAACAACAACAAAAAGCCATAATGATATAGGTCTTGACTTGTAGATCAAAATCTGTATATTTTATCAATCCTGATATTTCTTTAGACTGTTTATAACTGATAGTTGCCTGTCACATATTTCCCCGTATCCATAGTTACGTTAGTAAACTTTTTTTCGTCTTAATTTTCTTCATATAGCTCAATTAAATGCTGTAGATATTTTTGGCTTATTGTAAACTATAAGTGTACACTCTGAATTCATTAAGGTGATTCCCTAATTCTAACCATAAGACAAATGCTGGCTGCTGACTTTAACGATACAAAGGAAAATTAGCGAAAGAAAATAAAACTTAACACTTAAACTTAAAACTTTAATAAATGTTTAAAAAAGTTCCCATCAAAGGGGCGTTATTTCACTTCAAAGCAGGGCGAACTTCACATTAATTCATTTGTTGTTGAAATGACATCTATGGTGTTTTGAGTATTTTGTAAACAATTACATTGTTAATTAGCTGCTAATTAACTCAAGTCACGATTTGTTTACTAATAGAGGTTATTTGTTATGCGTGATGCATATTACCATTGTTTACATTTTAGAGTAGTCACTACCGAGAGATTTGGGTTGCATATCTATTTCGCTATACATAGTTCGCCTGAATATACAGTGCCCGTTGTTGTCGATAAAAATAGTCGGGTTAGGTTATATTTTTGTTCGGGTTTAAGGCTAGGGTTAAATTAGGGCAGGATAGGGTTAGCATGGCTGCCAGCTAAAGGCTGACAACCCAACTTTGTGTCAATATTTTAGCCAAGTCATGGCCGTAAACATCAACGCTTGCACTCATGTTGGCCCTAAACGTAACCCTTGGATGATGGTGGTAACCAAAATAAACCACAAACACGGCTGTAGAACAACACCATTAAATCCCCTAACTTGTCTTAGAGAATCGTATCACAAGTCTCTCTCTCTCTATTGGCTTTAGAACCTCAGCTTTTAAACGTCTCACACCGATCCCCAGTCTACCCCCCCCCCCCCCCTCAACTCTTGCTTCCGCCATTCACACCAATTACCCCCCTCCCCACCCTCCTCCGCGGACCCCAGTTCAACGCCTCACACCAATCCACTTTAAACCCTCCCGTCCAACTCCGCGACTCACTCCCCCACACTCACACCCCCCCCACCTCACACCAATTCCCCTCCCGCTCCGCACCTCCCCAGGTGAAATAGTTGACACCAAATTGACAATTTGTTGCGAGTTGTTCTTGTAGTAGGAAAAAAACAAACAAAGATCACGTCGCACACTTGGTGTCACGTCAGGTTGTCACGTTTACTGCCAAGGTGCAAAGGGTTCCTTCTATTTTAACCCCTTCAGGTCAGTCCGCCCCCTCCATTACACCCCCCCCCCCCCCTTAGCATGCCGTCCCCATCTGCGGTAACCCCTCCCTTCCCCAGCAGGAAAGCAATAACGTCCCTACAGTTTCGTAACCTGATCCACGCGCCAACCAGACGTTAGATTTAGTTACTACATCCGCGGGTTGCTGGGCTAAATTAAGCTATTGTGCCGGTGGATTGTTTCGTTTCGCAAATCTTCATTATTATTTTTTAAAAGCCAAGTAGGAGTTGTATATTTTTTTTCCTACAGTGGTGTATAGTGTTTACTGTTTATCAATCGAATAGTGTTTACGTTGTTTGTGATTGAACTAAGTAGTACTGTATTACGAACATCTTTTGATATTGTTTTTTTATTTTTAAAAAAATATAGAAAGACATATTCCTTTATGAAAGCAAGTGTTGAATTCAGTGTGCATATTCATATCGCAAATGAAAAACACAAAAAAAAACAACAACGCATGTATTGTAATTCTTTTTTTACTTTACACATGCACGCACGCACACACAAACACACACACAGACACACAATCAGATATATAAAAAGACCATTATTTTCGTTTATGTAAAGCGGCTTTTGTAATATGTAATATGGAATACCGAGGTACAAACCATCCCTGAGGTTAAATTGTATAAAGTTTGTTTACGATTCTTGAAACAGTGTGCCATAAAAATACATTAGTACTATTTCTACGTTTTGAATATTGTACTGCGCTTTTAGTAAAAGTACCATCAAGCTAGTGGCATAAAGCTGTTCTCAGCTGTGAGATGATGGTGTATTTTTCATTCTAGTATTCCCTGTATGAATATGGAGAAGGTACATGTTCGGATAAATTAACAGTCGGTTGTTGTTCTCATGCTTGTGTAGGTTATTTAACGGGAAAGATACTAGGATTGAACTTTGTTTTAGAGATTGCGTAGTGTGGTCTTTGTGCCTTCTCGTAGAGTTCTTCAAGTAGATTTAGAGCCGTTTCAGTTTTCAGGATTTTAAGAATTTTGAAATTCGATTTTTTTGTTTCAAAGAAAAGTAAATTGTATTACGATTTTGGTATTTTTTAAAATAAATTGTGTGTGTCTACTTTGTAATTATTTGTTTGCTAATCTGTCGGATTCAGAAGGATATAGTAGTGAAGAGACAAAGATAAAAAGAATACATTATTTCGTCAATCAAGCGCTGGTTTGTTCTAGTTATTCATAAGGATTAATTCGACGTGGTTGAACATGCAGTGAATAACAATTTCTCTCGCCTGCCCGCTCGGTTGATGCATCGTTGAAAGGAATTCATTTCGTAATTCACGTGTGCTGGTATTTCCTTGTTTTTCGGATGGCTGAGAAGTTTCGGATAAGGAACCACTAGTCATGCAGGGGTGGCTGCTGTCAGGGTTGGTACCACTGGTGCTGGTCATTGGCCTGTTCATGATGGACGGAGGAGAGGCGGTGACGACTACAGGTAATGTCTACATGAGTGTGACGTAACGCGGTGGCGCTGTAAGGATTACTAACAACACTAACATGATTATTTTGATGAATTGAAGTGTAATTCTTAAAGATCTCTATTTTTAACAATTGAATTAAATATCAATTGTAACTCGAGACAGTAATTCCAATAAATGTTTTTGAAAGCTAAAAGAAGGTTGAAGTTTCATCTATAAAGATTATAGATCTACATTAATTTGAAATGACACATCTCTTTCTCCCTCTCTTTAAATTTTTTTTATTAACAACTGCACAACCCGATTTACAGCTATTATCGAAACGTTATATGTTTCTTATCCTATGAATTAATTGCAAGTACATCTTGACAAGGAAGTTTTTAGGAGCCTTACTGTTTTAAAATGCTGATAATAATATTGAAACCCCAAACGTATTTCTGGCTTCATTCCTAACTACTATAGTGATTACATGAGATTTATCGGCGGTTACAGGGTTTCTTTGGGACATCCTCGAACGAAACAATGCCTTCGGAGAAAAATGCCTGAAGGGCATACGTAACTTATTTGTGAGTAGGGCTAATAATTTAAAAAAAAAGACGAAAATGTCAGTCCACGTCTGTTGTTATGTTGATGTGTACTTTGTACTTCATTCCCTTTAAGCTAGGCTTGCCTGAGCTCAGCTAAAGACCTTTATGGCCTGTAAAGTCTTAACCTTAACCGTTCTGTTTGGGATTATTCGCGGCTTACAAGAAATCTCGCTTCCGGTGAAGGATCTCATTTGTGGTCGTGTGATTGACCGGAAGTGCCCTCTGATCCTGTTATATAATAGTAACGGGGGGGGGGGGGGGCGACGACAATGTTTGGGGTGCTGTAAATAACCACATTTGTGTCTGTGGTTGCTAGCATTTTATATGCGGAAGGTGGTGGGGGTGAAGAGGTGCGGAGATTTGTTAAAATCGTAGCATCACGATTTTTTTTATAGTTCGGTTGACTATACTCTCATGTTTTTCGCTGGAGTTTTCTAGAATGTTATGTGGAGTTACATTAAGTAAGGATTTGGGTCAGGGTAGGTTTAGAGGTTGAAATGTTAAAGTATAGTTGTCATGGATACTGCAGTTTGATATCTGATTAGATTCAGTGTTATAATTCAATTCGAACTAGATCTATACACTTATCCAGCTGTTTACGGTATTTACTAGTTTCCTAGAATCAGGTTTTGAGATTATTTACATATCCATTTTTTTTGTTTTTGCATTTTGTGTAGGTCTTCAAGGAAAGGATGTACGAGGGAGGGAAGGGGCAGTGGCGTTACTGGGTCGGGTGTCACCCGGTTCCCTGAGGGTGTTACCCCACCCCATCCAATAATTTAGCTTTTTTTTTTTTACTTGAAGGGTGCTGTTTAAATAGATTTATGTATTTAGAATCTCGATCGACGGATTCTATGTAGAGGCGTAGCGAGGGGGGGGGGGGCATATGTCCCCGGGCGCCGACCTTAGGGGGGGGGCGCCAAAATGGGTTGGAAAAACAAATTGAAACTTTGAGGGGGGGGGGGGGAGGCAAATCAAAAATTTGAGGGGGGTGTGTGCAAATCAAAAGTTCGAGGGGGGTGCAAATCGAAAGTTGGGGGGGGGGGGCGTGCAAATCAAAAGTTCGAGGGGAGGGGGGTGCAAATCGAAAGTTTGGCGCCGGGAAGGGTCGCTACGCCTCTGATTCTATGCCACAGATTCTATGCCACATATTCTAGATCTAGACTAAATCTGGATCTATTGTAGATCTAGTCAAAATTCTAGCGTAGTTGTACTGTCGTTTGTATCCATGGCCTACTGGCTAACGGCTAACACAATCTCCACAACAGAATAGAATTAGTCTAGAATCTAGACTGTATTTGGATTTTTAAAAATAACAGTAAGGCTTTCATGCTATCCGCTACGGCTTGGTGATTTCGTACTGAATGAATTACTACATTCTACTCTACCTAGAATCTAGATCAAGATCTATTACTTCTTGGTCTTAATGTTTAATATTAAATTATGTTGTTTAATTCTCTTGTTTAAATAGTAATACGCTGACTTGAGATAGACGTCATAATTAATTTTAATAATGTATGCGCCGATTCAAAAGTCTACTTTCAAAAGGTATTTAGTTAGCTATAAGTCAAAATTAAAAGTTTAATTGAGTTAATAGTTACGATGCGAAAACTTAATTAGCATAGTTACACTACTTAGCATGAAGACAACTGGGGTAGCATTTAAATTATAGATTACTTTGTACTTCAGAAGACAGCCGTGCACATTCAATCTAGATCTAGATGCATATCTAGAGAGATTATAGAAAAAAACCTCATCTTGAATTGAGTAGGCCTAGATCTAGATCTAAACTCGTCGTTAGTAGATAGATTTTCTAGATTTAGACAGGCATAGATGTAGATATAGTTGTGGTGGGTAGTAGGCCCTAGATCTATAGGCCTATAATTTATAAAATTATTTATAGGCTCTAGTTTTAGTAGTAGTAGTAGTTATTGGCCTCAATCTCATTTAACTAAATACTAAATTTTAGATCTAAGACTTCAGACTTAATAAACTTAATATCACTCTTAAAACTAAAGGTCTTAAGTTAAGCCTTAAGCATTAATTTTCATTAAATTGTCAAAATTTTAATTTTTGATCTAGAATAATCGCATTAATCTGTTTATATTTCGAGTCGTCCCTTTGAATCCCGGTCAGAACGTCCCCCCGGCGTGGCCTCAACCAATCGGCGGCATGTTGCAATGATTTAAATATAAACTCAAAATAATAATATAAACATATTTCTTTAATTGTCAGGTGGACCTTACATTATGCACCAGCCAGCAAATGTCACTAAGTACGATGGCCAGAAAGTGGATTTCCCCTGTGTTTCTGAAGCCTACCACAACACTATCATCTACAATTGGTACAAAGACACAGTGGATGTCCGTACACTGGATGGGTTCAAAGCTAAAAGAATCAGGTGGGTGCACATCACAGGGTTGATCTCTACTTCACTAGCCCCATGGACTGTCCTGTTCAAAAAGGGAACTTTACTTTTTAAGTACAGGTTTAGGATGTGCTATAGATTGTTTTAAAAATTGTTTTTAGTCAGAATAAAATTATTTCTGACTACATTTATTTAATGTAAATCATATTTAGTTTATACATTTAGATAGGCTTGTCCGTATTCAGCTTTCCTTACAGCTTTTTATAGCCCATTCCTTTACTCTTAAATAAAATCTTCAATAGACCCCCGAGATATAATGTAAACAAACACAAAGCTGACACTGAAATTGATCTGCTGATAACTTGAATGTTTACAGTATCACAGAGGATGGCACCCTTCACTTTGATCCTGCCGTCAAAGGGGACAGGGGCTGGTACACTTGCAGACCCAGCAATGGACTTGGTCATGATGAAGCATCGGCGTACCTAAACATTATTTGTAAGTTTGCTCTAAGTCATCAGAGTCACTGAATCTGTTATAGATTTTTTTTCTATAGCGTAGGTGTTCAACATATTTAAATATTATTTGTAAGTTTGCACTAAACCATCAGAATAACCAAATCAGTGTTTAATTTATTCACATCTTAGGTGTTCAACAAATCTAAGTATCATTTGTAGGCACTTTTGACTTAGGCTGAGGGTTTTCATTTTAAAAAAAAAAGATCCAACATAGTTCCAACAAACTATAAATGTTTTAGTCTAACTTTGAGTTGAAAAATCATATATTCTTATTACAAAAAAGTCACCTTAAAGTTGGACTAAGCAGTGAAGCTCATATCAAAATGGCCTCTTTAGTCTAAAAAGTGACTGTGTTTTAAGGAAGCATTCTCATATCAGACCATTCTAAATTCTATTATCTTGTCAGGGTCTGCAATCTGTATAATTCTTATAATAATGTACAATTAAAAATTCTGTCTGTGATATTTTTTTCCCTTTATTATGCTAAGTTGACATTATTTTGTTCAAATGTTACAACCAGAAAGTTAAACTGAGAAATGTATTTCCTCTACTGTACATGTGATATGCATCCTTGTATTTCAGATAAGCCAGAAGTGCAAAAAATGCCATCCCAGATAACATGGGCTAAAGGCTACCTTCAGCAGATAGATTGCCCTGTAGATTCAAACCCACCGCTTTCTAAGGTGGACTGGGTGAAAGATTCCTCTGTGGTCAAAGGCACAGGGCGCTTTGACATCCTGGGTAATGGTACCCTGCTGGTGAGATATTGGAACTTTTAACACTTCTGGTTTTACTTTAAAAGATTTGTTTGACAGTGGCAACATTATTTACTGTTTTTTTTTGTTGAGTATGATGAAATTATTAAGTTGTTGTTGTGTACTTAAATAGAACTCAGGGTCTGACTATCACTTGTAGTAATATCTTCTATTTGTACGTATATATACTTCAAAGTTTAATACATATTTTATATATATATATATATATATATATATATATATATATATATATATATATATATATATATATATATATATATATATATATATATATAATTTATGATAAACTTTGAAGTGTATATATATATATATATATATATATATATATATATATATATATATATATATATATATATATATATACAACTTTTATTCTTTTTAAACCATTAGATGTTGTTATCTCAAAACTAAAGAGTTGAGTAATATAAGTGAAATTAGCTTTCTCTGACATTAAGGTCAGCATGGGAGATGAAGCAAAGTTAAGGTTTCTCTGTCCTAGTTATGGCAAACTATAATGCATGTTTGCCCATGACTATGCTGAATATCATCTCAATTTCTAGTCAGTTATTACAAACACTGAAGATCTGTTTCAGCCCAAGGGGTCAGCTTGGCAAAGTCGGTAAAGCTTATGGTTACTAAACCGAAAAGTCTTGAGTTCGAACCCTCGGGCAGATGAGGCTCGTTAGATGGGGACAGCCACTCTTCTAGGAGAGACAACTCCAAAATCAAACAACTGCTGCCTTGTAGTTTGTTCTTGGTTGGACAAAGGCTATGGAAGCAAATCCAAAAAGAAAAGCAGGCTGAAATGGAAGTCTATGGCCTCAATGGCGCATAACCAGTTGACACATATACTTAATTGTGTTGGAGGGGATCCTTTCCAACATTAAAATTCAGAACGAAGAAGAGCTTTCAGCTCAAAATGTTGTATTTAGAATTGTTGTTATTTGTCTCAAACACTAAGTCCCATAATTTGTCTTAATTTCTGCCATTCAAAAATCTAAACAGCTAATAAACAAGTTTAAAAATTTTGTTACATTTTTTTTGCAGGTGAGTAATGTTACAGATGGAGATGGAGGTAACTACCAATGCACACCCTATAATTCCATGGGGAATGGTCTCCCTTCATCAAGAGTTCTGGTTGTAGTCAAAGGTGAGTAACAGAGTAGATAGTTGCTATCATGTTTTTTAAACAGTGAAAAACATTTATTACATATTCAAGTTCAAAAGTTCCAGGAAAGTCTACAATTTCTTTCCTCAAAAGATTTAATTAAATTTATTATGGTTAAAGTTTTCAAGTAGTTTTTTTTATTCAAGTGACAGCCGTTAAAATTGTAATTGTAGCTTTATACAGTTATTTCACATAATTAAAATAAAAATTTTCTTTTGTTTTCATTTTTTCTCTAAAAAATTTGTTTTTAATAAATGAATTTTGAGTTTTAAACAAAAAATTTTTGTCCTTTGAAGTAGCATGTTTAGATGAGTTAGTAGTTTTTGCATGTTATCATTTTCTACTTCCTTTTTCATGTTTTTGCTTGATTCACTCAAATGTAGTGATTTGTTTCTATGACTGTAACAACATCTTTGATTCACCAATTTTTTACAGTAGTAGCAGCCACTTCGTTATCTGCACATTATGTTGTCTGTCTCTAAAAGTTATATAAAGTTTTTATTTTTTTGCCTCGTCTTTGAGATCGTAGTATGCTGGTGCTGCTTTCAAGCATTGTTTCCTTCTATACATAGTATGTGTTGTCGCAAAAAAAAAAAACAACAAAAAAAACACACAGAACTGTATCTGCTGATTTTTAATTTGTTTTTTAAAGGTTAGACAAAGTGGCTTTATTAGGTGCGTACAATGTTTAGCGCTCACTGCGAAAGTGCTGTCTTCCGGGGGAAAATTTTACTTTTTAAAAATGCAATAGGAATCAAGAACCCTCTTTCACAGCAATATGTAGTTTTTGAATCTGAGTAATCTTCTCATTTCTTAGAAAAGTTCATCCTAACCTGTATGACATTCATTCTGCCTTATTAAAATTCATCCTGTCTGTGATAGTCATCTCTGAACTTTGATTTTGACACATTATTTTACATTATGTACGGTCATATACCCTCTTCTTTAGTTACTTTTATGCATTCATTGCAATTCTTTTTGAATAACCTATGCTGATGATGGCAAATAATGTTATTTTGTATTTAAATGACATGGAATATGACTTTTTTTCTATTTGCTTTCTTTACATGGCACAGAAAAACCAGGTGAGAGACAATTATGGTTTTAGATTTAATACAAATTTGTGCAGTAAAATTGACAGAAATTTAAAACTACCTTTCTAGATTTGGTTCAATGATATTAAAAAAAAAAAGTGTCTAGGGAAATAGTATATTAAGTAGTAAATAAATTTGAATGTGAAACTGTATTTGTTAAAGTGAGATGTAAAGATAATAGTTTCCACAGTAATGAGTGTGTTTTATTCTGTTATTTCAGACCCCCCAGAGTTCACTAAAGAACCTATGCCGCAATATATCAGAAATATTGGAGATTCAGTGGTTATGGAATGTGAAGCCTTTGGTAATCCATCAGTTTCTGTAGTTTGGACTAAGGTATGAATTCGACAGTCAGTGCTAAGTGTTATTTATTTAATTCGCATAATACTTAACCAATGGAGATAACATTTGGACAGTCACAACATCATTTTCCATACATGGAATAACTTTTTGGACAAAAATCCTGAGGTTGTGTTGAAAGGGGTTACAGGCTTTTGAGAAACCGAAAGTAGGATAAGTGCCACTTCGGATGTCCAAAAATTGCTGAAAGGTTGAAACATAATTACAAATTTGATATAATGCTCTTTTGCTAAGGCAAAACTTTTCTGTGTCACTTGCCCGTAAAGATCTTGATGTCAAACTTATCTGGTTTGGTCTTTGTAAGACAGAACACCTTAATTAAAATTTAACCTTGTGTTCCTGTTTCCCGTTCTTAAAATGGCGAGTTGTTAGCGTATAAATATTTTTGTTGAATAGCAAGCGTCAAATTTATGTCAGTTGTGAAGTCACTTTTAATGTCCAAAACATGATCCCAAAATTTCAAGAAGAGTTCAACAGTTCAACTTATACTGGACCAAAATTATCAGAATATTGTCCCTTGATTTTCCAGTTATTTTAGCAGTCATAAGTAGAAATTTAAAACTTCATGTATTTGTTCAAGTTTTATTTTTACCTCTTCATTTTGTCACTGTGTTTTGTCACCCTTGACATATTTAAAAAGGGTAGTAATTTTTTGGCAGCCTATAACTCATAATATATAAACATGTGGTTTTCGTGCCCTTGTAATAGACTGTATAGATGAGTTATATACGATAACCCAATGCGCAACACTAAACAGTGTGCTCAGGGCTGTGCATAATGCCAACCACCCTATCCCTTATATGCAAAGGTCACAAAAAGTAGTGAACTCTACTTCTCCTGTCCCATGTTTACTATACTATACTATTATATATATGTATATATATATATATATATATATATATATATATATATATATATATATATATATATATACATATATATATATAAACCGATGTGTTTCAGGTAAATGGCATGCTTATAAATAATGAACGAGTGACAATGACAGAGAAATACCTAGAAATAAGGAATTTAACAAAAGAGGATCATGGGACATATGAATGCAAAGCCATCAACACAATAGCTTCTAGAGTTAAGGTCACAGAGCTTAGGATTGATAGTAAGTTTATTACTGTTTTAGGGAGAAACAGAATCTGACAGTGGTGTCCATAGGTGCAAGGTTTCAATCCTCATTAGCCAGGAGCTAGCTTTGTTGTTTTATGTTTTTTTGTAACATGGAAATTCCAGTAAGCTCTGGAGCATGCATACAATTAGTTGGAATGTATTACGGGGGCTTGTCATTAACCATAGTATGCCTTGCTTTATATATAACATTAATTAACCTGGGTTCTGCTGTATAAAGCAGTAGGGTTGGAAATTTATCATGCGTTGTAAGAAGTAGGGGTTGTGTTAAAATGCATGGTTTGAAATTAAAATGAATCTTCAAATATTTTTTTGTTTTTCAGATACAACTCCGTACGCACCGTTTAATGTGACAGTGATACCCAGTGTTTTCAATGTGACAATAACATGGCAGCCAGCATATGATGGGGGAACACTTCAATCATACACTCTGTGGTAATCAATGCTGACACTACTTGTTGATGCATAATAGAACATAGATACAGCATTGGAGCAACATGTTTTTACAAGACAGAATTCATGCAAAACACAATGACGTGACTTAGTCCCCTTTGCTCTTTATGGAACATAGGGTCTCCACCTTCTTCTTTTCTTCTTCTTGGTTCTTGATTATTAGTGCTGAAGGGGATCGAGATTTATCTGCCAGTGGGTTTGAACTCGAGACTGTTCGAATGTATCAACCATGAGCTTTTTGCCGACTCGACCACGCCTCCAACACAATTAAGCGTTACGTGTCAACTGGTTATGCGCCATTGAGGCCATTGACTCCGATTTCATCCTGCTTTTCTTTTTGGATTTGCTTCCATATCCTTTGTCCAACCAAGAACAAGCTACAAGGCAGCAGTTGTTTAATTTTGGAGTTGTCTCTCCACCATTTCCTTCCATTTCTTCCGATCCCTTGCTATTAATTTTACCGTCTCCCATCCCTGTTGGCTTCAGTTCTTCGAGAAGACTCCACCTCCAGGTCTGTCTTGGGCGCCTCTCTTCCGCATTCCCTGGGGTTCCACTCAAACGCTTGGCGTGCAACATTTGGGTGAGACTTTCGCAGTGTGTGACCCACCCAGCGCCACTTCCTCCTTATTTGCACAGTCATAGGCTCCTGTCTTGCTTTTCTCCATAATTCTATGTTCGGCACTTTGTCCTGCCACCTCAATTTTAAAAGCTGTTTTAGTCATGTTCATGAAGGTCTGACTGTTACAATACATAATTGATAAAACTCATTCTTACAACACGCGGATCCAAAACAACATTCATATATCACAGCCTTGTTGCAACACATTACGAAACAACATTTGTATATCACAACACATTGATACAATAGAACAATGAAACATCACATACGACACCTTGTATCACTATATCAATGCAACACATATTGTTTCTGTCGGCAAAATAAATGTTCAAACATCACATTAATACTTGCCAATTCAATACATTTTAAAACTAGCAAAGTTTGTAGAAGATAAAAATAAAATTCAATACTTTTTTAAACCTACAAAGTTTGTAGAATATAATGATGCAATTAAGTAGGCCTACTTATCTTAAACTAGCTTAGTTTGTAGGCCTATAAGATAAAAATAAAATTTTAAACTTTTTATTTAAACCTATTGAAATTTATATATACATAGATTTAAATATTTCCACAGGTTTCGGCAGGTGAATCACAATGACTGGCAAAAAATGGACATGCCAGGCACTTCAGCAACTGTCTTTTCTTTGTATGGTCTACACCCAAATGCAGAATATGAGTTTAAAATATTGTCCTACAATAAATGGGGCAATGGATCTTTCAGTGATGTAGTTAGACAGAAAACATTGGGTAAATTTTTCTTGAATCTTTATGAAAAGGGGCTGGCTACCTTTGAGTTTAAAAATTTGACTAATGTTTTGGCTTTGAAAAAATAACCCTTTATTTTTTTAGCAGGAATTAAGTTAGAATGATCTAGAACTGAAGGTTTTCGCATAATTTAACACGAATATTCACCTTTTTATTTTTAGAATAGTATTTACTGATTTAAAAGAAAAATTTCTTATTTACTGTCCATAAAATATTATGTCGGCTGCTTACTTACACATTCTTTCTAACATTGGATGAACACAATCATATGTACTACTCTGAACTGACTCATTTGTTTCTTGGAATACTGTTCTTAATAAATCTTTGTTGGTTTCAAATTTGGTTGGTTTTAAATTTCAACAATTTTGGTCTCACATCTAATCTATATATTCCCTTTAGGTTCTTGAACATTTTCAGAGTTAACTTTTTGCCTCTTTAACTGTGTAGCTAAACAAAAAAAAAATAGTGATCTCTTATAAGCGAAGCTTCCTCAGTTGTTAGTACCTAGACATTCTCTATAGCTGCGCTGTAGTCCACTGTCCTGGCTAGTACTTTGTGTTAGAGAAGTCAGTGTTGCTGAATTATATGTGTAGTTGCTGGATATTTGCAGCGTGCTGTGATCAGAAACTTGTGTTGCTGATAATTAGTTTCTAAAGGTTGTGTTTATTTGTTTGATTTGGGTTGGCTGCTAGGCTATATTTGATCATCCAACCTGAAAATTCGTTTAATTTTTAAAAGTTTTACTACAATGAACAACAAAATATAATCAAACATAAAATTTGAAAATTCAAAAAAATATTGATATTTTATGTTTTGTCTTAGAAAATTGCACATTTTCTCTTTGTCCTTAATATTTCTACATGTTTTGTGTGTAACTTTTTGTTCTCTAGTATTTTTGTTAGTAGTCTTTCAGATTTCTTGCTATTGCAGTTTTTTTTTTAAAAAATGCAGATATTTTTAATATGTGCATGAGACAATAAATTATTTGTCCATATGATGCACAGCTTGCTTTACAGTTTAAAGCACTAGAGTTTGCCTAAACTATTGTTTCTTCATTTGTGTATACACATTTTCTTAAATTAATAATCAATTTTCACAGTATCACTAAATATTGTGTAAACTAAAGCACACTGCATTTTTGAATATTTTTTTTTATCTCATATTGAAGAATGTTAAAAAAGATTTGAATTTCTTTCTGCTGTTCTGGGGAGTGTTTCTTCTGTATTGATTTGGTGTTTTCTTATATGCGTTGAATGTTCACACAATTTTCTTCTTGACTTCCATCACTTGATTTGTATGGCCAAAACAGGTTTGTCTGAACCGGGCAGTCCAAGCAACCGCGACAACATCACACCGGGTACAATTTGCATTTAGACTCCCCCAACATTACGACAATTTTTTTTTAGTTCAACCTCCCATCATATCATTTTTATCTGCATTTGGTTCAAGCTAATTTGTGTTTTAGTTGAGCTCAGTTTAATGTTAATTACAAATTTATAAACCTAGCAGTAGTTTTTGAAGTCCTTTTCTCTTTCTACAAAAAATAAAAACAAGTATTTATTAATATAGTGTGTCACATTAGCGCAATATTTGTTGCTGATTATCAATTGTAATTTAGTAATAGTGTTCAAAACCTTATTAAGCATTGCTGAAAATTTAAGTCAAACTTGGTGATGTCTTCTTATCAGAAGCACTCCACACTTTTGCCTATATGTATGTTTAAGATATTTTGTAGAGCATATATTAAAAACTTAATTTCGGCAACATTCTTTTAGTTTTGGCTGAGCTACAAATTATAAACACTAGCAATAATAAAGGTTAAGTATAAAACTGAGCTCATTGTCACATTAGCTTAAGTTTTTAAAAGTTGATGTCATTTTTTTGAATGGCCAGGTTTATAGGAATATTTTTTTTTACAGTTACCCCCCCTCTTATTTTTTTTTGCCTGCAATATAATTTATTTAGGAGTGGGTGGTTGAGTATAAATTACGTGTCGCATTAATCAAATGCAGTTCAAACCAGCATGTTTCTTGATTGAGTTGTGTCACTGGATGAATTCATCAGTTTTATTTGGCTATGATTTTTTACTGCACATCTTGTGTATAGGGTTTAAAAAATTGATATTTCCCTGTGTTGATTGTTGCATGTGGTCGATGTTTCCCATCTTGCTGTAGTATTTGTTTAGAAAATTATTCTGCCATTATTTTTTTTTTTGCTTTATTCAGGATTTAGATAGTTCCAAAAAAAATATGAGTTCAGGATCACACTGTGATCTTGTAATATTTTGAGATTTATTTATGGTAATTTAAAAATGTATACATGAGTAAGTATGGTGAAGTTTGTTCTAATAAATCTATTAAGTTTATATATATGTTGATTAATTTTTAATAAGGGCTATTACACATACTTTTCTTTAAAATAGTTATTTTTAAACTTGAGCTCTTTATTTATATTAATAAACAAAATACTTTTCGTACTGTTTGCATCAAATACATCTCCACTTCACTATCCCTTGTCTAGGATTCTTATTTCTTCAAATAAGTACTCCAAACTGATTTTTTAAACCAATCATGCACCAATGGTTTATGTTTTAATGTGTAGTACTAATTATTCTAAGGATGTGGATACCGAATTTATATCTGTAGGACTATTAGGAAAAAAGTTGTGTGATTTTGAAGTCAGACATTTTTTTTTACCTTTTTTCTGTCAAATGAGGTGCCAAATTTACAACCCCTTATCTTTAAAACTATAAATTATATAATGGTCATTTACCTTAATTCTGATAATAGCATATACAGACTAAACACCCATTTTTTTAACATGCTGTTTATTTGCAACATGTATATTTATTGTCTCAAAATTGACACTGTCATTTTTACACACAATCTTAAGGGAGGTAAAAAAAACACAAAAATCATCAAGTTTTAAAAAATCGCAGAAAATCAAACAGCTAACTGATTGATGTAATTAAACCATCTCAACAAAGCTTAAATTGAGTAGAATATCAAAATGGAGAACTTAAGCTTTAATTATCGATCACAAAATTACAGTTTCAATGAGCAAACCACTGGGGGTAAAAAAAAAAATTTCACCACTGGCGAAAATTTACAAAAAATTAAGTCACCAAAATGCTCTCACAAATGTCAAACAAAGTACTATAACCACCCTAGATCAAATTGAGATTATTCTTAGGGCTCTAGATCTCAAAAACGGTCATAGTATTACACAAAAATGACTGACCATGAAGTCAATTTTTTTTTCCGAAACTCAAAAGATTAAATAGAGATCAGTACATAAGATATGGACCTATTATGATCAAACAAACAAAACTGAGCATACTATTAATATGTATCAGTAAAATCAGCATGTTAACCTTAACTCTGCTTCAGAAAACTTGGCAGCTGATCAAAAGTTTTTCGAAACAGGTTAGCCGCAATGATGTTTATGCATTTGGCAACGTGCAGATACACCTATATCTGCCATTAAACTAATCACTATTTGCCTTACAGCATGTGAATAGCAGTTCTTTATGGGAACTATAATGGCAGCTGGCTTTTCACAGTCGCATGATTTATTTGCATTTAATAATAATAATGTTGCCTCTGCCTTTAGCTGGTAAAATGTTAGCTGTCCTTTTAATTCTGAAACTTTGTTATACATTGCCAACATGCACCAGTTCATCCATAGACCTTTTTCAGTACACTTTTCACTTTTAAAATGATTAGTCTTTTGCTGTTTGACTCCATGATAGACCTTTTTGCAGTACACTTTTCACTTTTAAAATGAGTAGTCTTTTGCTGTTTGATATCTGCATATTCTTTTAGCCGTTTGTTTCATAAATGTTCATAATATTTATTTTTCAAATGTAACTTACTATTACAACTAATAGTTTTCAAAAGTTTATAATGTTAAGTATAGCAGTAAAACAAGGTTAATGTGGTAGATATCTTCAAGGTAGATCTTGCATTTGCTAAGATTGCATTTCTTATATCATAAATACTGGTAGCATTTCGCGTCTGGCTCAGCAGTTGCTTATTAAAAAAATTTTCCCCCACTCTTATTTTTACATGTTATATGTTTAATAAATATTTCGGTCTTTAAATATAGGCCAACTGTAAAAATTTTGAACAGTTTTTATATAGCATGTTCTATGCATGTTTACAAAAGGCGCCCTATTCACAGAATGAACTAAATTTATTTTTTCAGCGCACCCTTTTTGTGTTACATGTCAGCTTTTGTTATAGTACTGACTATGTGATCAAGCTTGAATGTTTTTAGAATTAACCTTTTCATAATTAATTGTTAAAGAATCTTGAATGATCATGTTTTTTTTTTTTTTTTTTTTAAATTTATTTAAATATACTGCGAAACTCTTTATTCTACAAAAGCTATTTCAAAAATATACTTTTATTATTTTTTCCCTCTTTTTTTAAAACAAAATTTTTTTTTTGACGTCACATTGCTACTATAAAAATAAATGTTATTGAAAATTGACAAAATAAATGTTATCGAAAATTGAGACTGACAAGTGAGTACAATAAAGAGTTAAATCACAGTATTGTTGGATAAATTTGGACGTAATAACAAATGGATAACAATTTTTCTATTGGCAGATTACGACCCTCTTGCTGCCCTTAGTTTGCCACGAGACCAGAATGGGGACATCTACTACCCCGAGGTGGTTGAGAATAGAGGTACGATGTGGTATGGGTAATGGCGCTGACAGTGTGGTAGTGGTATGGGTAGTGGCGCTGAGAGTGTGGGTAGTGGCGCTGACAGTGTGGGTAGTGGTGCTGACAGTGTAGCAAGTGGTATGGAAAATAGCACTGACAGTATGGGTAGTGGCACTGACAGTATGGCTAGTGGCACTGACAGTATGGGTAGTGACACTGACACCTTAGTTATGACTGTTGCAAAATCTCTGAGGGTAATATTTAGTGGTACTGACACTTGAAGTTGAGTCTAGTGTTACCAAATCAATAAATGCAGTAAGTGGCAATAGTACCTAGGTAAAGTTAGTGAATTGTTAAATGTAAGAGGTGGCTTTGGTAGTGGCATTAACAGTGTTGCTGTCTTGGTAGAGGCAATCAGTGTTTCTAAATGTATAGAGGTATGAGTGGCACTAATAGATTGGTTAGATTAGTATTTCAAACAGGCTGCAGCTAACTAATATGTTACATCAGTGACAGTTGAATTGTGAAATTTTTTTTTGTTCCTTCTAAGGGTAAAATAAACAGTTAACATAAATAAATGTTAAAAAGTTCTTTTATGGTTTGTAACCAAAGTTAAAATTCTAATTAGTATGTGGCCATACTGTATGTAGGAACTGTTTTGCTTACATACATTGTCAACCACTTCCCTAACTTGAGGGATGTGAGTTTTCCTGATCTAGTGGAATTCCCATTTTTTTTTTGTTGGAACTGCATATTTCTCAGCTAATTTTTTTTCTCCTAATTTTTTGCTTTGTAATATTTTTTACGATGTTTTGAAAATTTTGAAAAAACAAATAAATTATCTCCACGGAAACAGTGAAGAAATACGCTTGGCCTACAGATACTAGATCAAGGTCAAGATTCTATATGCTACGATTCATTTCTTTGTTGTCACTTAATTTCAATAGATGACCACATAAGCACAACCATTTCATTGGGACAATTATGCGTGGTCTAAGGGTACTAGATAGTGATGTTATAACTTAAACTTAGAGCCAAGCCTTCTGAGTCTATTTACTATCTGACTCTATGTTAAGCCGAATGGCTTGGTTTAGTATTTTTCTGGGGTCGGCGTGGTCGAGTCGGTAAAGCTCATGGTTGCTAAACCGAAAAGTCTCGAGTTCGAACCCTCGGGCAGATGAGGCTCGTTAGCTGGGGACAGCCACTCTTCTAAGAGAGACAACTCCAAAATTAAACAACTGCTGCCTTGTAGTTTGTTCTTGGTTGGACAAAGGCTATGGAAGCAAATCCAAAAAGAAAAGCAGGCTGAAATCGGAGTCAATGGCCTCAATGGCGCATAACCAGTTGACACGTAACGCTTAATTGTGTTAGAGGCGTGGTCGAGTCGGCAAAAAGCTCATGGTTGATAAATTCGAACAAAAGTCTCGAGTTCAAATCCACTGGCAGATAAATCTCGACCCCCCCTCAACACTAATAATTAAGAACGAAGAAGAAGAAGAAGAAGTATTTTTCTTATATTAATTTCTATTGTTTTCATTTTACAAGTTAATTTAATTTTTTTATATGTTTGCTTTCAGGCACTGCTTTTTAATAACTTAATGTTTATTAACCTAACAAATTATTTTTTTTATTATTTCTACAGGTCCTATACCAAACCCTCCTTCCAACTTATCCTACCAAGTTAAAGATAATACTATTTTTCTTTATTGGAGAGTTCCTTCATTTTCACCAGCACCAATATTCTAGTAAGTCTCACATTCTTTTTTCAAGCCTTAGGTAAAAGGTTGAGCTAGATACCAGTGTTAAAAAACAACCACATGTGGGTTTGAATTAACATGCCCATGCACTCACTGTCTATCGTCTTTTTTTTTTTTTTGCTGTTTGTGCCCAAGACTCATGGGGCAGATGAAGTCGAGTTCATCACTGTCTATAATAATAATTAATTATTGAAGAAAACTACAAATTTTAAAGGTCTTCCACAAAAATAAAATTGTCAGAAAAGTTTTTTTTAAAATAATTATTAGACATTTTGACTGAAAAGTTTTGTTACTTCTTTATTTCTTATAAAAGTTATTTTACTAATACAATGTACATTTAGTCTAAAAAAAAGTTCCAAAAATGCTATTTATTATTTAATTTTGTTTTTAAAATTTACCTTTTGTCTGTCAATTGATCTTTCCTTCTTTCTGCCAGCTACTTGATAGAATACAATGACAAATATTCCATTTTTTTTCCTTTTTTTCTGCCAGCTACTTGATAGAATACAATGACAAATATTCCATTTTTTCTTCCTTTTTTCTGCCAGCTACTTGATAGAATACAATGACAAATATTCCATTTTTTCTTTCCTTTTTTCTGCCAGCTACTTGATAGAATACAATGACAAATATTCCATTTTTTCTTTCCTTCTTTCTGCCAGCTACTTGATAGAATACAATGACAAATATTCCATTTTTTCTTCTTTTTTTCTACCAGCTACTTGATAGAATACAATGAAATTAGTGGCAGCAACTGGAAATACTACCCAGAGAGGATCATCAATGCCATGACTAGTAGTGCTGTCATGAAAGGATTACCCAGCGGGAATTATGACATCAGACTACGGTCATATGGCGTCTTGGCCAAAAGCCCCTTATCCAACACCATCCGCGTGAGCTTGCCCAGTGGTAGGTGCTTATTTCTTGTTTGTGGGGTGATGAGGCTAGGTGCTTATTTCTTGTTTGTGGGGTGATGAAACTAGGTAGGCTCGAATTAAATACCTATTGGTTATGAGGCTAGGTGCTTATTTCTTGTTTGTGGGGTGATGAAACTAGGTAGGCTAGAATTAAATACCTATTGGTTATGAGGCTAGGTGCTTATTTCTTGTTTGTGGGGTGATAAAACTAGGTAGGCTCGAATTAAATACCTATTGGTGATGAGAGTATAGGCTTGTTGATTTTATTTGAGAAGTTTGGTCTATGCTCATATCTCTTAGGGAGTTTAATATAATGCATTGGAAATATAATATCAAACAAGTTTTGTTTCTTCTGTATAATGGTTGGAATTATTGCTTAATACATGGGTCATTGTCAATCATAGTAGATTTTTATAGCAAATGAACTTTTAGTCTCATGAATTTACTAGATGGTGTTTATTTTTTTTGAAAATCTCTTGTCAGCATTTTTGCTGATGAATGCTGATAAAATTAATCAAGTTTGGCAGATTAAATACACTTCATAGTGCTAAATTTAGAAAAATGGATTTTAGTTTAGACTGCAGCAACGATACAAGCTAAACATGCAAACTCTTCTCCTAGTTCTATAGCATTATTGAGGACATTTCTGTTGTTATCATCTCCTTTCTGCGGGTGTCACCCACATGTTCAGCTTGTTTTAATGGCTTGTAAAGAAGTTTAATATACTTTGTGGCTGTTCTGGAAAAATAAATTAAGTGTGTAACTCATGAGAGCTGTTTGAAATGTGAGCACCCATGAGCACTAATCTTAGTTTGAGATTGTGTGAATGTTTTTTTTTTTAATTTTTTAACCTATTTTCAGCTTTATATTTTCACATAAAATTATATAGAAATTAATTTTTGGCCGTCTTGAAACATGTTTGTGTCTTGTTTTTTGATAATTTGATGCTTTACTTTGTTTTGCTGCCACCAAAGGAAAAAACAAAGGCAATGCTGATGCATCTTCATCATCTGGTATAGTTGCATCCCCTATCATACCTGTTGTAACTCAGCTTGATTAGAGAACTGTATACCCACTGGCACACAATATCTTCAGAATTACTACCTGTACATTAGCCAGAAACAAATTTGTATAGCTGGAAGCATTGATAACAAAACTACAACCACAGAGGGTCGTCCATAAATAATTATGCACTTTTTAAGGCGATTCATAACCTCAACCTACCCCATCACAAAATTAAAAAGAGCCACACTCCCCACTAAAATGAAATTCTCTAAGTTCTGTCCACCATATACCCACAATATCTATTAAATTAGTGAAAATCAATTTTTTTTTTTTTTTTTAAGAATACAAAATAAATATTTTTTAACCCTTACATACCCCCTGCCTGCTTTATCATAAATTGTCACAAAATCTTAACCCCCTCCCACTGTGGCTTATGATGCCCTTTATGGATGACCCCTAACTAAAATTCTAAGGGTTACAAGAGTAAGTGTATTGCTAAGATGTAAGAACTCACAGGTGTAACATCTTAAAATCTTACTAATTAAGCTTACCGCCAAAGATAATTAATTTGGGTAAAGCTAAACAGTTTTATACTCACACAAATAACTTAATGGAGCAGTTGCAATATATTCCCCAACATTGTTGTGTTACAGTTAAGATACAGTGGTACCTCGAGTTTACAAATTTAATTTATTCATTAACCTTTCTCGTATGTCAATTTCCTAGTATCTAAGAGAAATTTTCTCCAATGAAATTAATTGAAATGCCATTAAATCGTTCTAGCCCCCCCCCCCCCCCCCCAAATTGCCACACCAGTAGTGTTTGTTACTTGTTTTTGAATAAGAAAAATGTAATTATAAATTAAATTATTAAAGAAATTAACTTGTTTTATAAAGGGTAGAGGAGATGAGAGGAGCTTCACTTTGTTCACTTACTCGTTACACTTCTAATGCTACACTTTACCATTAAACTTGATGTAATTGAACTGAAATCAATTGAACTTTAAAGGCTACTGTACAATGTTGTTTTACTTTTGCTTAATTTTCATCGCTGCTTTTCTCTTCACCTATCCTTGCCACTACTGCGATGCTTTCCTTACTTTCACTAGCAGGTCGTTTAAAAAAACCAGTCCAAGATTCCTCGTATCTTAAATCATAACATCACTTGTTCGATGGCTTGTATTATGAAAAAATCTCATATGAAGGGTGCCACTGTATTTTTTAATTGACGTTTTGATTCATGTATCAATTTGATATCAGTATTTTGGTGTTTATGTAGCTTACTTTGATAGTAAGATAAACACAAACAATGCAAAATTCACTGTATGTGCATGCTGATCTTTAATCAAAATGGTAAACTATTATGGTTTTTGAGGTACTACACTGTAATCTGGGAAGGGTTCAATGAGTCTATTAATAGCCACTAACTTACATATTAAATTATATTACATTATATTTACTGGGACTGCTGAATTGGAGTTACAGACAGACAACATTTAACCAATTTTTAAAAGATTTAAAAAAACTGCGACGGCTTTGCAAAGCAAGTGTGTGTTACTTTATCTATTGCCAAACCTAAATAATAGTATAATTTGATATAATTTACTAGTTAAAATACAAACTTAGATGGGTTTTTAAAATCAGGAACACTATTATTTGTGTTTTCCAGTAAAAGTTTTTAATATTCACTTTTTATTTTTCATAATTACAAAAATGGGGATGAGTAAAAACATCTATTTTTTGTCTAGTGAACTTTGTGTAATTAATATCATATGATTTGTACAATATTTTGTACAAAAATCAAAGTACTTTTTGAATGACATCACCCCATTAATTATTTTGCAACTTTGCCAGAAATCTGAGTTCTGTATGTTGCGGTTGTTAAAATTTCTATTTAATTTTTTTATCGTGTGGTTTATACTTTAAAAAAAATAATTTTGTATAATTATATTAGTTTGATTAGATTTTTTTACTAGTTATAACTAGGATTTTAAGTTGAGCTAGTTTTTGATGTGAAATAAATGTTGTCATTTTCTTGATGTTTTTTTTTTAAACGTAATACATGTCTCTTTAAAAAATCTTATGTTTGTTTTAGATGTACATTATTTTCTATAAAGACATTTGTAAAAAGGATTGGTTCAATGCTTAGTGGAATACACATTTTTAGATTTCATTTTGAAGCTTTACATTTCAAATGTCTGATCAAAAATAATCTTCTCTCTGCAAGATGACTTGGTTCTACCAGAGGCCCTTATTGGTGGAATTATTGGGGGCGTGTTGTTTTTATTGGTTGCTGTCCTTCTGGCTTTGGTGGCCATTTTTCACAGCCGAAAGAAAGACAGGAAGGCCAAATCAAAATACAGTGAGTTTGATTTGTTACATTTCTATTTTGATTTGTTACATTTCTATTTTGATTTGTTACATTTATATTTTGATTTGTTACATTTATATTTTGATTTGTTAAATTTATATTTTGATTTGTTACATTTATATTTTGATTTGTTACATTTATATTTTGATTTGTTACATTTATATTCTTTCACCTTGACATGGTAGATGTTTTTGTTCTTGACAGTTAACTGTAAGTGATGAAAGCAATGTGTAGAATGTTCACTATCGTAATGTTGACACATAGTTTACTTCAAAGTTTATTGTTAAAAATTGTTGTCCCTCAACAGTAGATGTTAACTATGATGAAAAGAATGTATAGAATGTTTACAGTTATAATGTTGACTCATAAGTTTGCTTCAAAGTTTATTGTTAAAAAATGTTGTCTCTCAACAGATGATGTCAACTATGGTAAACCTGATGAAATGAATGGAAGACAGTGAGTGGACTACTGATTTTTTTTTTTTTTAATTTCACATTGTTGCAGCTTTGAAAAACTTATTTAAAGAAAAACTGGGAGGGATATGAAAATCTAGTGTTTCATGTTTTATATTATAAGAAAATTTTGACTTTCTTAAATTGAATAGAACCAACCACAATGACCATATTATTGATTGAATTTGTGAGTTAAACTTAAGTGATTAATTTTTATTAAATTTAATGTATATTAATCAGCATAATTTAAAATAAGGGAAATTTATAATATGTATTAATTCAGCTCCATTCCGTTAATAAAAAAAAACAATTGTATGCATATTAAAAATATTGTTTTGGTATAAATATAAAATTTCTCAGCTTGCAAAGTAATAGTATGAATAAGTGGATACATTATTTATTGTCCATCATTACAGTATACTATTGTTGTGAAAGATCACACTTTTATACATTGACCAATTCAGGTCTAAGAACCTCAACTATAGTTTTTGTATCTTTTGATGGTTGACCTATGAATTTTTTCTTTTTTATTACAAACTTGCTTGGGAAGGACTAGGAAAGGTAAAGTATCTATCTCTAGGGGCATTATGCAGATTGCATGCCATGTTCCATTCCAAATTTTTTATTTTCTCACATACATCAAATGCCATATTTTGTTTCGTTTCCTTTTTTTTTTTGCTAATTCAACTAAGCCGAATGCTCTTATTTTTTTTTTCATCAGCCATCTGATTTCTGTGCTCTTGCAATCATTTCTCCTGGTACTTAAATACTGGAAGCCTTGTCATTTTTTATTATTAATTTTATATAATATTCTATAACAGCAAGAATGGTTGTGATTGGAACTGAAGTAAATCCTAAAATTGTTGTGTTTAATTTTTAGAAATGATAATTGTAGTTTCAATATTAAAAACCGTAATATAATATCTTATTCTATTTTTTTTAAAGTGTGTTAACTGTGAGTTAGTATTTAAAAAATCCTGTAGAAGTTTAAATAATATCCAGGTGTTAAACTAATTTGCTATAGTTTTTTTTTAATAAAAAGCTTAGGTCCTATAGTAATGCTGAAACTTAGTTACTAGTGAAACATAAAATTGAAGACCTTGTTTTTTAATTTTTTTATCTTGCATGGCCGTTATTATGATAGTAAGATTTTAAAAAGAAAATCAGATAAATCTTCTAGTCTGGCATATAGATTTATTTAACGTTGACCATTCAAAATTTTATTGCTACACCTAATTTATCTTTTGTTGAAGAAATGCCTTATTGCTACACCTAATTTATCTTTTGTTGAAGAAATGACCCGTATATAGATTACTTGCTAAGTAAAATTTTGATGAAGATGTTAGTTAATTTCTAATTTGTTTGACATCTTCAGTGAACCTCAGGCAAAACGGGATCGCTGGCAATACAATGGAGGAGGAGACTTTGTGACATCTCTGGATGCAACCGACGGTATTTTCTTCTTACCCCAGACCCGAGCACTTGACCAATCAGCTGACATGATGTCCACGCGCTTGTATGTTGATAAACTTGACCCTCAGAAACACAGCGCTGGTCGGAGTGTCCCCTTTAGGGAGGGGTATGACCAGGGTATTGCTCGCCAGGTGCCTTTGAATGAAACAAGTTTTATGAGTGATAGGTCGCAGGCCGGGTCGTTCAGGTCCCGACCGGATAAGAACGTCACCTGGCCTGACGAAAAAGGTGAATCAAGTCTCATCCAGCAGCCTTTGTCCAGATCTTTGCCTCCAAGTTACGGCCGCCTTCCCCTAGAAACTTATCCCCATCCACATCATGAACAGGTAAACGATCCTTTGCCACAGCAGAGACATCCATCATCGTTTAAAGATTACCCCACCTTATCAAAATCATACTCGTTTCCTTCTCATCACGCACCTGTCAAGCCAGCTTTAGCCAATCAGTATCCAAGTCATTCAGCTCACTTAGCAGCACCGCGTTATCCCAGCCATTCAGGTTCCTCCCCCAGGGAGGGCCCAGCCCCCAGGGAGGGCCCAGCCCCCAACTTGGATACCCAGTATCCAAGTTTTCAAAGTGAAGACGATGAAGTCTTCGGAACGTTGCCTCAGCAGCCTGGTCTCAAGCCGACACCTGGGTTCCCCCGGCATAGCTCGATGAAGCCAAGCCAGATGACGTACCTGACTGATGATTACCTGCCCTCACAGCAGTCCAATGTTCCCTTGTTTGGGGCCGAGGACATCAGCTCGGTGCTGGAGCCTGTTTCAGAGCAGACATCCCAGAGCCATCCTAATCATTCCGTGTCACCAGCCGGCCGTGCTTTGTACAGCCCTCGTCACGACACCGCCCACATTCCACCAGGCTATTACATCAGCACGGGCGACAGCGCCAAGCCGTTCGCCATGGTAACCCCTGCCCACCAGCGCCGCCACCCTAGTGATAACGAGAGCAACAACAGCAGCGGCAGGCCGTTGGGCTACACGCGCGACCACTTGCAGGGCGTGGTCCAGAGACTCCGCCAAGCCCCACCTGTCGCCCCGCCCGTCAAGCCTTCCCGCCAAGCTAACATCTCCGGCTACTCTGATCCCTTGCCACAGAGCAGGGTCAACCTGTACCTGCCCCCTCAGATGTCCAAGTCACATTCAGCCCTACAGGACCCTGACTACTATGGTACACTGGATAGCGCTGATAACAGTCTGGCTCGGCGCAAAGTTCCGTACTACATGTCTGATATTATCAATGAACCTGAATATGTCAATGAGCCACTCAGGCCCAGAGCTTTAAGTGAAGGAAGTCGTGGGTTAAAAGGAATTCCTTCATTTGAGGCTCAGGATTATGAAGGTGCACCTTATGTAAATAGACCATCTAATTGGATGTCTTACCCAGATATGTCCCTGCCTAGAAACTATCATGATGGACAGTATGATAGTAGGAATGACAGTGGCAGAAGACCATCAGATGAGCGTAGGCAGTATGATTACAGAAGACCCGCGGGTCACCAAAGACCAGATGTTCCAAGGCAGTATGGGAGTCAAAGACATCTGGAAGATTCCTATGGCAGGCCCTCCAGTCATCAGCAGCCTCCCTCTTACAACGCTCCAGCATTCCATCCACAGAGGACCCTACCTCATGGCGGTGTCCTTGCACCCCCACGGTACACCACACAGCCACCCCACCCCGGGGGTCAGTACAGAGGCTACCCCAGTGATGAGTCGGTGCCCCAAGACTCCGGCAGCCACAGTAGTGGTATCGGCAGCCGCAACACGTCCCAGAGCAACGGCTCTGTACACCCCCACCAGCGAGGCGGTGGGGGTAAAGGTAGTGCGTCCTTCAGTTCAACCCACGACCCGGATCTAAGCCTGGAGGGTCATCAGCCATCTGGCCCTCTGACCCATCGTAGAGACACCTCAGGGGATGAAAACTATGAATTTGACTCTTTGAACGCACTGGAGAATGATATCATGGATGACTTGAAGAGGTATTCCAGACTAAGTGGCACAGCGCCTAGACATTCACATTCCAGGGTAGACCAACATAGTGAGCACCCACCAGACAAAGCCAACAGGTATCCAGACTCTGACCAAAGGTTTCAGAAGCTTAGGGAGGAGTTTAAACAATACAGACAACTGCAGCACCTCCCACAGGAGGAAATACACCCTCCACCCACAGCTACATCAGCCCTGCCCATTGGTCAAGATGGCGAGCCACTTTATCCAATGGACAGCGAAATGTTGTAGCTAAAAAAAATTCTTGTAATAAAAAAGGTATCTTAAAAACATGGAGCAGAAATCTTAAAACAATATTTGTCTTTATTCTTTTAATGTACAAACACAAGTTTTTCAATTAGTTATGTTTTCAAGCAAAGAATGAATAAATATTTACAGGACAGATAACACTGACTGGCTGGGATGGCTTAGCATAAAAACCTGTAACCAGTTTAGAATTTCTCTGCCTCTGCTTGGTATACAAGACCCATCTAGCACCAGTTGGTCTTATTTACCAAGGTACAGTACCAATCATTCTTTATTAAGCAAGGTGCTATAAACAGAAAACATATAATCTAGATGGATGGCACTGCTCTTATGAACAATGTATTTGTGGGTTTTTTTTAATTGTTAATTTATCATTGATTTCATAATTTGCATATAAGCATAATTAAAATATATTTTATGTGTACAAGTCTTTTTGCAGTATTAGTCATGGATAAGTCTATATTTCTTGTTGCAAAATTAGTCAAGGTTTTAAAAAAATGCCTGAAGGTCTTAGTGCAAGGTTTAAAGCTTAAAAGTATTTTCAGGTATTTTAGCTGTTTTTACAATAAATAATTCTACAACAGAAGTGGTTGTATAATTTTATATTCATTTTTCTTTAAACTAGATTTTGATTAATGGCGAGCAAGCTTGAAAATTGTATGTTTATACAAAAATGCAATTTTTTTTAATGAAACAACAAAACCACGACTAATACTGGAAAAAGATTTCTTTAAAAAAATTACGTCCTTAGAGTATCAGCGATTCACCTTGAGTAAAACTAGGACCCAGAATAATTTTTTATTTGATCTCAATGATGCTTTAAATCAAATAAAACACTTTCACCATACTTAATGGTAGACAATAATATATTGAGAAGTGAACATCAATCCTACTATTGGTAAAAGATTTTTACCTGTACCATAATGCATCTGCCCAAGTGTAGTGGGGACTGAAGTGAAAGGTTGGTGATAATACACTTACATTTTATTGTTGTAGTTTTGAAAATTATAAAAACTCAATATACTTTCTCAATCTAGTTTTGCCAAACTTAGATTAAATTTTAAAAATAAAGTTGATTGTTGTACAGTTATAAACTGAAAAATAAAACCAGAACACATCATTGAATTAAACATTGATACCTAAGCTGTTTGAATCAAACATTGATACCTAAGCTGTTTTAAACGAGGTGAAAGCTTGACACCATGGAAGAGTTGTGATTTTTAATATTGTTTTTTTTTTCTTCAGTCATGATGTGCTATAGTTTTAAAAAAAAAAACCAAATTGAACACACTAATGCTGTTGATGTTTACATGTCTTGTGTATGTGTTTCTTTTTAAATTTCAAGTGAATACAATTGTCTTACATATACATGCTGTACTGAAGATTTTTTTCTGTATATATTTATAACTGGTAAATTGATGATCATATAATATAACTTTGTTATCTACAAAGTTAATAACTGTACCAAATGCTTCAAACTTACTTTTTGGGTATATAATAAAATGTTATATATTATAATAAATTAATGATGGATTAATGAATTGATTATAGAATAATTTATTTCTTTGTTCTGATGCTAGTTATGTTGTTTTGTACTGTTTGTCAGAAGTGGGTTTCATCAGTGCTACTGATCACGTGATCATATACATTTAGTGTGTGTACGAGTCTTGCTGTCTTGTTGATAACATTAGTGAGCATTGCTGCAAAACAAATTGAGGATGTCCAGTAGAGTGCTGAAACTGGGTTGGCTAATCAGGATCTAGAAACTAAGTAAAACTTAAGTACAGAATGTTAAAAGTAATCAATGTTTTAAGTTTTTAAAAATGTGTCCTGTTTGTGAATAGACTGATGAGCATACGGTTGCCTGGAGGTTGATACTTTCAGATGACCAGTGGTATTGTGTTGTGCTGAGGTGTTCAGTGTTGATGACACATTTTATAAAACTTTGAGAGATGTATCAGAGACAGGGTCTTTACCAACCTGACACCCCTTGTTAAAGATGGTAGCTTCTAACTGACAGCTGTTGAATACATAAACCCGTCCCACTCCCTCTGGTTTAGGTTTAAGTGTTATAGCAGCATTTATTACTTTTAAAATGAGTTATCTAATTAGGGACATGCTGTCTTGTTAACATAGCTTTGACTGTCATTTTAAGATAACGCTGAATCTCAGTGTGTTACACAAAATTCCCCGGTGCAGTGTGGCAAAGGCTTGATAATTTTCTTCAACTTATTTCAAGTGATTTATTTCTGCCTAATGAGAGTGTCCTCCCTTTCCCTAACACCCAGATAGTCTCCCCTCTCACTCAGTTAACCTCCCAGAAGGCCTACTAGTAAGAACATGACTAAGAAAGTAGTTCTAGTTTGTGGTTGATTTTATTTAAAAACAAATGTAGTAGTAAACCCTTATATTAAAAAAAAAATCTCAGTTTCTTTTGTTGTAACTTCATTGTGGTTAGAATATATTTCTATAAACATGTTATCTTTAAATAAATTTTCTATTGAAATATAAATACACAAATGATGAGCTGTGTGTATATTTATAATGATCAGTCATGAATAAGGTTTTTCACAATTTTATATAATTCCTCATCCCCATTTGTCTTGATTTGTAAACATTTTGTTTGCTTCTCTTTGTTACTGTGCATTGGTTTTAACTTAAAACATTTTTTATCAATATTTTAAAATTTGACTTTGCATAGAAAAGGAATTTTTTTAAATTGCCTGGTTAGCTACTTAATGTTAATAGGTAGGTCCACACGAACTACTTACGGAGATATGCTGTTTTTTTTTTCTTTTCAATTTTTTACAATTTAAAATTTGAAGCTTTTTAAATACTTTTAAAATTTATTATATTTGGCACATGAAAGTTAAGTATTAAACAGTAAAAAGAGGCTTGAAAACAATTTCGGTTGTCATAGAAACAAGAATAAACCATTTTAGATTATGTGGTTCTTTTAAAAACGCAAATGCTTTTTATTCTTGCAATTTGTGCAATCTAATTGAAATTTTAGTGGAAAAGAATATGATTTATAAATTATGCGGCCAAAAAAATTGTATTTTAAGTATATTAAAAAAAAATTCTCAAGAAATTTATGTTCTTCATACAAAAATTAAAAAGCATCCAAAAGTGAAAGAAATGCATTATGTACAAAATCAATTTTTTTTTTTACTTAATGAGTCCCTTTCCAAGATATATAAATGATAGAGTTTGGAAGAAAAACAAATTTACATTTAAAGGGAAGTAAAGTTTAAGAAGATAACTATAGTATTCTATACTTATTTTTTCAAACAATTTTTAGTTTGTTTATTAAAAATTTCAAATAGTGTTAGCAAAAAATAAAATGGGAAATTATAAATATTATGAAGAGTTTTAGTGTAGTTTATAATTTAACATCATTCTTGCACAAAAAATTTTAAAACTGAAAATAAAATAAAAATAAAAAAATATCTACAAGCCATGCACACCAGTATAATTTTATGTCATAACATTTAAAACATGTATACTTAAAATTTTGCTTTTATGTTAAATTTGATTAATTAGTTTTATTTTTAAATTTAAGATTTGATCATTCCTAATTGTTTACTTTCTATAGTGTACATTTTGACATCAATTAATTGTGTAAACAAAAATTCCATGTTTGCTAGACTTACAAAAAAAAAATTATTTTTTAATGTCTGATGTTTTCATAATGTAAACAAATATATTGTTAAGTAATGAGAACTTGTTTTGTTTCTTTTAAAGTTATTGAGAATGGAGGGCTTTGAGCGAAACCAGTGCTTTGTTTCTTGAGATTCAAGACTTTTACAGAAGCTATAATTTTTAAAACAAAAACCACTCATCAAGCTTTTTTTTTTTAACATAGTTAAGCGGTGCCTGCATTTCCAACTCTTGCTAGTGTGAAACTGTAAAAGAAATATTGACTTTTAGAAATAACAATCGCTAGACATCTAAAATAGTCAAGTGTATTAGTCAAGCACTTAATTGCTAATCCTAGAATATTTTAGAGTTTGGTTCAAATGGTTCCCAGGCTGGAGCTTATAGGGTGTCTTGGACTCTAATCCAGCACTATGGAATACTGACTTGAGAAACTAAAAGTCACTGGGTATAGTACAGACCACACCCTCTCTACATTTACAAAGGTAAAAGAAACAAACTTCTTCATCTGCTGGAGGTTCATCATCATCACTTCTCATCAAACCTGCTGGAGTATGGCCAGATCCAGAGGCGTTTACGAACATTGCTTTTTTTATAATGCAAAGGTGTGACATCACATGATCTGAACCCCCCCCCCCCCCCCCCCGTCATCACAGACTGTCACAAAATAATTCCCCCCTACGAGTGTCATTTATGGATGACCCCTTAGAAAGAAATCATAATATTGAAATGCATCAACTTTATGTTACAATATTTGACCACAAATCCATTCACAGACTAAATGAGTAGTAAAAGACAAATTTTGAACTAACGAAGAATTTATCTATGTGTAGTTTCTTCAGTAAATAGCAGCTGGCAACAACAATTTACATTTTTCAACATTCATCAAACAGAACAACAAAAACTAACTTAATAATTAATTGATAATACTTAAGCCTGTTTATTGTTTTTTACAATATTATTATAGAATGATACAAAAATAACAAAATGAAAGTTTATTTGTATTTTTATACACACATAAGCTTATAAAATTAAATGCGAACTATATAAAATCTTTAGGGTGTGTAATAATCAGACATTTTTATAAGCGAATTTTCAATCGAACTCTTTAGTTTGCTAAGAGTTCTATGATCTACTGAACTGATAATTGAAATTTTATGGAATCCTAATATTTCTTAACTTAAGAATTACTTAAGTTAATCTACAATTAGTACAATGCAAATCTGTTTGGCATAAAATAAATGTAAAGATAAAAACAAGTATCCTACTAGTTATTCATAATAAATTAAACTCATCAATGTTTCTTTTTCTCTTTTGTTTTAACATAGCTAACATAGTTTTATTTCAATAACATTGACATCTGAGGTTGCTATTTAGGCAAGGTAACCTCAGCGGCATGCCAATGATAACTGAACTTCCATTTATTTACAATTATTTACAATTGAAGTAGGGCTACAAAGAAATAAAAAAAAAACATTTTCTTTTCTTGGCATACATAAGTGTTTAGCAAATGTTAAAGAGAACTGTATATCTATTATATGTTACGTAAAGCACTGAAGTAGAGCCTACATAAAAATGCTTTTGATATAAAAAAATATTTACAAACTTTTTACATTTATATGATTCAAAATGAAACATTGCAAGACAAAACTATAATAAATTTTTTTACATTAAAAAAATTAGATACCCAAAACAAAAATTATCTCAAATTTATAGCATAAAAACTATTTCATGAGTCATGACTTAAGTCAGCACCATGTGCCTGACTTGAGTCAGCATCATGCCCCTGATCATGACTTGAATCAGCATCATGCCCCTGATCATGACTTGAGTCAGCATCATGCTCTTGATCATGACTTGAGTCAGCATCATGCCCCTGAGTCATGATTTGAGTCAGCAACATGCCCCTGAGTCATGATTTGAGTCAGCACCATGCCCCTGATCATGACTTGAATCAGCATCATGCCCCTGATCTTGACTTGAGTCAGCATCATGCCCCTGATCATGACTTGAGTCAGCATCATGCCCCTTAGTCATGACTTGAGTCAGCACCATGCTCCTGAGTCATGACTTGAGTCAGGGAGGCAAAGGCAAATGTGTTGAGCACCTGATCCCTTCCATATGTGAACGTCACCAAACAGATAAGCTGTTCCATCTGTCCTTATAAAATCGGATCTGGTAAATTAATTTTTACTGTATAAACTCATTTAAATCTATAAACTGGCCAGATCATGTTTAATATAAATTATAATAATTACAAATTTAACCATTGTAAAAACATCATGTGGTATGCATGATTGTCTTGAGAAATGAATAAATATGAGCATAACATGACAGAAGTTTAACGGTTGGAATGGTACTGTGGAAGGTGTCATGGTTGGAAAAACGCAAAGATATCAAATCAACACTTTTACTGAGTACTGCACTTTGTTTTTAAAAATTCCTCGGACGAAGGCTTTGTGGGAGGAAAGGTGGCGGTGCTGTGGGTGACCTCGGGTCAACATTCTCACTGTGCCTTCTGTAACTCTTGTACCCAGTGCCTCCACTGTGAATGGCGCCAGGGTTCCCAAACATTTTAGCATAGCTGATCCCCCCACCCAGCCCCGTATAGCTGCTCAAGCGCCGGGTTCCAAAAGCCGAATGAGAAACAACTGGAGCCTCGCTGTCTTCACCGTCATCGCTAGACTCTCTCACCGGCGGAAGGTCTTTGGGTTTTGGTTTCGGCGAGACTTCGGCACTTTCGTAAGTGAAAATTTTGACAACACCGTCTGATTGAATGATGACCAGCTTGTTGCTTTGTGTCATGGCCAGGGCGACCGGACGTCTCAGCCCACTCTCCCTACCCAGCACAAACCTTGAAAATTTAAAAACAAAGATTTAATGAATAAAAAAAATAATGACACAATTATTTAATTTATTTTCAAGATTACATTTTCTTTAACTTTAAATCCTATCAAGCATTGGAAAAAACACTAGTAATAATCTTAGTGTCTGATACAACAATAGTTCTTTCAGATATGAGCTAAATTTTTTTTGTAATTAAAATAATTTTTTCTCCTTTTTTGGACAAATAAAAGTAATTTTTAATTAAGATTGGGTTGTACAAAAAATTAAATTTCTTTCATAAAAATTAAGCTTGACAACACTTCTGTGGTTGATGTTTTTCAGAACTTCATGTTTAGTTATCATACATTGTACACAAATCTTAAATTTGTTTAGTTGACAGAATTTGTAAACTCATTAATTAATACACTGATTGTAGTAACTCTAATTTAAGCAGTCGTAGTATTTATGTAATTAACTGAAGCTTCTTCAGAGCAAACAATTCAAATAACCAGCATCAACAGTGGGTCCCATCACTTAAAGATGAATAATACACAATCAACAGCCAACCTTACTCTAAGACATTCAACTCAATAGAATAGAATTTAAAGACCACAATAATATTGTGTCCATCACTTAAAGATGAACAATCTGCTTACAATAATTTTAGAATGGAACAATCAACAGCTAACCTTACTAAGACAATCAACTCAGTACAACAGAATTTAAACACCACAATAATATTGTGTCCATCACTTAAAGATGAACAATCTGCTTACAATAATTTTAGAATGGAACAATCAACAGCCAACCTTACTAAGACAATCAACTCAGTACAACAGAATTTAAAGACCACAAAAACCTCCTCACCAATCCACTTTAAGCAGCCTTTGTTTAAAAAAAAGGAATTGTTTTTAATTTTTAATTGGAACTAAAAAATAGTATTAACCATTTTTTTTACATTAACCAATGATTGCCTTTATGTTAAGTACATTTGTAAATTAGGTCTACTACAGTGACGTTATGGGTTTCAAAAATATGAACATTCTGGGTTATAACTAGCATCCTAACCAAGACATGTTCCAAATTACAACACAAAAAAATTACAGTTAAAATTCTAATTTACTGTACCATAAAATTTAAAATTGGCAAACATTTCTAGTAAAAAAAAACTGGTGACTGAACACAGGTAATTTGTGTTTCTCATTTGATGGAGAATAAAATGTTCAGCCAGGCTATACAAGTAGACTTTTAATTAGTCAGGTTATACAATTGGACCCTTAATTAGCAAGGTTATACATTTAGACATTTCTCACTAACTAAATCACAAAAATCCTGATTTTTCATCCTAACAGTGGAATCATATTTCTCCCTAGTGTACCCACCCCACGTGTGGCTACCGGCTCACACAATATTTTAAGAGGATCACATCAATAAGTTACCAACTGGATATATTTAGATGCGTGATCTTGTTTTCTAAAACTGAGTTATTTAAACATAAATAAATCTGGCACTTTATTTCTTGAATCTCAGCTGTTATGGCACAGATTTGTCCACGCTATGGCCCAGATGCCCCAAGGTGTGCTGTAGTTGAGCATATGTTGGTAACCCTCCGTAGTATTGAGGTATACACACTTAGGTGTCTGCCCATACAGCAACTTACATCACTGTGAACTATGTCTATCTATGAGTGAAGCAACTGAGTTGGATGTAGAAATTACACGATGATTTATTTTAGCAGCAAATTCAGGACTAACTGAACAACTCCGCTTATAAATGAACCCCATTCTAACAAGTTACAGGCCCAGTAAACACGAAAGTAATCTTACTGGGAGTAACCTCAGTGTTACTGGGAGTAACCTCAATGTTACTGGGAGTAACCTCAATGTTACTGGGAGTAACCTCAATGTTACTGGGAGTAGCCTCAATGTTACTGGGAGTAACCTCAATGTTACTGGGAGTAACCTCAATGTTACTGGGAGTAACCTCAGTGTTACTGGGAGTAACCTCAATGTTACTGGGCGTAACCTCAGTGTTACTGGGAGTAACCTCATTGTTACTGGGAGTAACCTCATTGTTACTGGGAGTAACCTCAATCTTACTGGGAGTAACCTCAATGTTACTGGGAGTAACCTCAATGTTACTGGGAGTAACCTCAATGTTACTGGGAGTAGCCTCAATGTTACTGGGAGTAACCTCAATGTTACTGGGAGTAACCTCAATGTTACTGGGAGTAACCTCAGTGCTACTGGGAGTAACCTCAATGTTACTGGGCGTAACCTCAGTGTTACTGGGAGTAACCTCATTGTTACTGGGAGTAACCTCATTGTTACTGGGAGTAACCTCAATCTTACTGGGAGTAACCTCAATGTTACTGGGAGTAACCTCATTGTTACTGGGAGTAACCTCAATCTTACTGGGAGTAACCTCAATGTTACTGGGAGTAACCTCAATGTTACTGGGAGTAACCTCAGAGTTACTGGGAGTAACCTCAATCTTACTGGGAGTAACCTCAATGTTACTGAGAGTAACCTGAATGTTACTGAGAGTAACCTCAGTGTTACTGGGAGTAACCTCAATGTTACTGGGAGTAACCTCAATGTTACTGGGAGTAACCTCAATGTTACTGGGAGTAGCCTCAATGTTACTGGGAGTAACCTCAATGTTACTGGGAGTAACCTCATTGTTACTGGGAGTAACCTCAATGTTACTGGGCGTAACCTCAGTGTTACTGGGAGTAACCTCATTGTTACTGGGAGTAACCTCATTGTTACTGGGAGTAACCTCAATCTTACTGGGAGTAACCTCAATGTTACTGGGAGTAACCTCATTGTTACTGGGAGTAACCTCAATCTTACTGGGAGTAACCTCAATGTTACTGGGAGTAACCTCAGAGTTACTGGGAGTAACCTCAATCTTACTGGGAGTAACCTCAATGTTACTGGGAGTAACCTCAATGTTACTGAAAGTAAACTCACCTCTGGAAGTTACCATCAGATGTCAGAAGGTGCACCCTACTGTTGGCATAATCTGCCACAAAAAGGTTCCCAATTTTATCACAGCACACTCCCTGCGCCCGCTTTAACTCATTGGCCTCTGAAGGTGAATAGCTGAACACAACGCTGCCATCTTGTGACATGCACATCACGGCACTTTTTCCTGCATCACTGGAGAGAAAATATAAACGATAAGATAATTTACTATATTTCTTATCCATGTAGTGAGCTAAAAATGTAAGATACAATCTGTATCTTTCTTTCATAATATAAAGATGATTTAAAAAACATTGTTTTAAAAAAAATGAATACGATTTAAATAATAATAACGATTATTCCAAAACACTAACTTAACCTGTTTTTGAATTCTTTTTTTAAAAAAGAATATGAATTTCAAAAGGTATGGTGCAGTTATATTTTAAATTATGAAAGGTTCTAATATTTGACTATTTTCATGGTGTCTAGAAAGTGAGGTATAATAATTTGATAAAAATAAAACACGTCACTGCGCTAACAGTAAAAAACATTTTTATTTCTTAAGTCGGATTTGTTACATATTGTGTATCACCAGTTTTGGTGCTACTGGGATCTTAGACATGAGAGAAGAAGTTAGAATTACCACACCCACTTCTTCCATTTAAAAAACAGTTAGATTATGACAAAACAATGCTAAAAAATGTTGATTATTTTTATATTTACTTAAAACTAATTATGTTAAAGCTATTCAAAATCACAAAATTTTAGCGAACATTATTATTATAAAAAGAAAACATGTAAGCCATGTTTTAATTTTTAATAACCCAAATTTCCTCAAAAATATTAGACCTAACACTAATCATTTGCATGATATTAATAAATAAAAATACAACTGGGATGTCTTGGGAGGCTGAAAAATACACAGCCATGGACCAGACAAAGTGGAAGATTATTGTTGAGACCCTATTGCACTATGCACCACAAGGGGTAAAGAAGACTAAGTGAAGTCAATAAGTGATAGTAGGAGGAATTGTTTAAAAATGTGATCATACCAAATGATAAGAAAAAATATAATTGTTTTTTTTTACATGAAAAGTTTTAAGAAAATCTGCATTATCTTTTTAAAATTTATAAAATGATAAATTTGACATACCTAATTACATAAAATCCATCCTTTGAAACAGCAACATATCTGGGAATTTCAAAAAGAGGCTCGCCAGCAGAATTAAACTTAAATGTTTTGGTTATGTCCCCTTGTCTGGACACTAAATCTACACAACGGTCCTCAACAGAACTGACTAGAAAACAAAAATTGGCAGGGGAGTAGACTATCCCATCATACTGTTTCAGGGTTTCATATTTCCTTTTCAGTGCCATGCTGCCAGACAAGGACACTATGTAAATGTGTTTTTTCGACAGAGTGAGAGCAATATTGTCTTCTCCAAAGCAGGTGACATCCCTTGGCTCTTCGTTCAGAACAATGTGATCCATGAGGTCACCAGAGCTGGAGAATTTTTGCACTCTTCGGTTTCTTAAGTAAAAAAAAAAAGAAAATTTATGTTAAATAAAATATAATATTTTTACATTGTAAAGTGAAGTTCCCTTTCAAACTTGACAGTCTATGGGGCAAGTGAAGTAGAGTTCACATGTTTCTGTGACCTCGATATATGAAGGGATAGTGTGGTCAGCACTCTGCTCATCAGGTACCCATAAGAGCTGGGTGAAATCAGAGATGTTCTTCTGTCTTGAACCGGGATTCAAGCTCAAAACTTTTGGGGTAGTTGTCTAGCTCTCTACAGCTAGGCAACTCAGTCTCATACTGTTTTTACATGTTAAACTAAAAATAATTGTAGTTGTGCACTCACACTCAACCACTAGCTGTAAATAAAGTGGGAGTGATCTCAACTTAACTCTCGCGTATATTCTTATATAACACTAAGTGTGATGGCATTTCTAGGGCGATCGGACATTAGATGTGTTTTTATTAACATTTTTTAATACTTACATTTTTTAAATAGAATAGAATCGTGTAGAAGAAAAAATTGCGCAAGTAATGAACGCAAACAATGTGTGTATGATAGCAAGGAAAATTTAAACTTTATAATAAGAAACAGTGATTATTTTTAAAACACGTAAAGAAGTAATATTTTATGTCACAATGCATTGTCTTCAAGTCATGAAATAAATTGGTCTGGTAGAAGTGGTAGAAATTGCGTCAACCTAGCTGAAGCGGTATGCAAGAAATCCTATTTACATACATACATACAGACAGATAGACAGACAGACAAGATTACAAAACTAAGCATTGCCAACTATGGGAGGTGAAAAAAACATTGAATTTTTGCACGATTACAATACTGCCTCTTGTATACAAGAAATTATAAAAGTAAAATACCCCTTAAAGGCTGGCTACCATGGGGGGGGGGGGGGGGGGGGGGGGGGGGAAGGGAGGGGGGGAAGGGAGGGGGGTTAGAGTGGGGACAGGTGCAGCAAATATCAATGGATAGTTTTCAGTACTAAGTCAAAAAAATACACTTCAAGACTAATGATCATTACTCCTCTGTATATGAAGTATGTCAAGGTATTCTGAATTTAGCAATATAACCATAGACTCAAGGGATTAACTTCAGCACTAGTGGCAAAGACATAAAAACCATTAATGGTTTAGCAGTACATTCGTCTACCATTTTTACCCTATTATCTCCCTTCCACTATCAAAATTCAACATTCAAATGTCCGCATAAAAAGAAACAAAATCAAAGTCAACTTTCCTACCTGCAATCAGCTAGGATAATTTCTTCTCTTGAAGTCACTGTGACCCCCCAAGAAGAAAACCCACTGTCTGTGTTGCAGTCTTCAACTCGAATGTCCCCAAGTTTTTCAAAATCTCGACAAAAGGTCTTGACCATGCTATCTGTATCAAATTTCACCTTGAGCCGGACCTTAAAAACAATATATGTACCAATATATAAATATATCTGCTATAATATATATATATATATATATATATATATATATATATAAATATATATATAAATAAATAAATAAATATATATATATATATATATATATATATATATATATATATATATATATATATATATATATACATATACATATATATATATATACATATACATATATATATATACATATATATATATATATATATATATATATATATATATATATATATATATATATATATTTATACAGTATTGGTTGGATGCAGAGCGTATGACTGCGAATCCGAAAGTCTTGACTTCAGATCCCATGGAACGTCTCTGTGTCCATACCTATCTGCGGGATACCTGACTCTATCCTGACAATATATCCCTACATTTGCAGAGGTCACAGAGCAGTTGAATTCAACTTAATGTACCCTATGGTCCACTATGTTAAAAAGGGTAACTCAGCCTCTATTTTATTTAAATTAAATAAACATCTTAGGTTGTTTATGTAAATTATTCAAATAGTAATAAAAAAAGTTTTCTGGTTACTGAGCTTTTTGGAAGTTGGTTTTTAGGGATCACTGTTTTACAACACCACATATCCACAAAACTCTTTAATGATAATCATGAACAGCACACAAAATAAAGAGGGTAATTAAATTTACAACCCTAAAAAAAAAAAAACTCACTTCATTTTCACCATTATCTGTTGAGTTTTTCTTCTCGATTTTTGCCAAAGTTTCTTTGATGTAATTGTAGACTTCCAGGACTTCACCATCACAGCCATACTTGAGAAGTGCAGCCAGCCTGAGTTCTGCCGAGGATAAAACCTTCATTTCTTCCTCAACTGGAATCTCAGGAGACTTCATAGTGTCTGTAATCTAAATTTTAAAAATAATTTGCTAGTAAATAGGAAATTTTTTTTTTTTTTTAATAATAAACAATTTTAAAAAATTCATGTTAATGTAATACTATATGGAACAGTTTAATGTGCAGAACATGCCTTGAGTTTGATTCTGACTCAAATCTATTACTTGACATATGGTAAAGAGAGTAAATCCAGCTAGACATAAAACAGACCGTATAACGTCATGGATGTTGCAGTGGCGAACTAGAATAAAAGGGCCACCCAGCAAAAATTTTTTTTTAGGCCCCATATATATATATATACATATATATATATACAAACACAAAATAAGAACATAGGATACTCATTGCTGGCCTGTTCGGGTTTATGAAAACAAATGTTTGTTTCAATTGAGGGCAATTAAAACAAATTACAACATGTCATGTGTGTAAGGGCATTAGTGTGTTTTGTGAAAATCAGTTTCAATTTATCTCTGCTATAAGACCCCTTTACATCTAGTCGGTCAAAAGAATATAAAACATGAAAGCTTAGTGTAAGTAATGGTGTCTCGTGTTATGTTTATTTTTATATTTTTTTAAAATTTATATTATTAATTTTAAATACATTTCCTTTTTATACAATGTCAATCTTTAGTAAGTAGCCTACTTTATAAAAAAATAATAATTAAGAGAAGTAATTGCTTTTTAATTTGTTTAGTACAAAGAGCTTATGAGCACCCCTATTTGATTATTTAAAAAAGCGAAATAAGTCATGAAAGTGGTTTGAACGTTTGCTTATCTTTGATAAGTTTGATTGTAGGAGAAAGATGAGTCGGCTTTCACAGTGGTTTAAAAACAAAGGGAAAAAGAATATACAAGAATGTCTATAGAATAAAGATAACCAACTGCAGCTACAATAATCTTTTTACAAAACAACCATCAAGTCAAAAATCAAAGAAAATTTAATTTTTTTTAACAATAAAAAAATTATTATGGTCGGCTGGGGTCCCTAAATGGCCTGGGTCCCCTCCCGCATTGCAGGGTCTGGCAGCACTATAGTTCCGCCCCTGGGATGTTGCATGGCCTTAAAAAACACATTGTTACACTTCACTGCCCCTTTGACTGTCGTTATTAAAATAGCACTTCATTAATTTCTTTTATTAAATGTTAAATTAATCACATCATACTTCTGGGAGTGGGGGTTTAGAGATAAACTGGTTTATTAAGAAAGTGTGACATCACACTTCTGTTTTTTAGACTTTTATAGGACTTTTTTGTAAATTGTACTGAAAATTAAATGGTTTTTTAACTACTCATGGATAGACTTTGGTAGACTTTACAGGGGAGAGAGTGAAAGTTTGAAAAAAATGTCACTTAAGAGTGTCGAGGTCTTATTTGTTGTTACTATATGTGAAAATGTGGGATTGGGGTGTATAGGTGAGGATGCTAAAATTATTTATTGACGGTCTCTAATTGATAAATAATTTTTTTTAAAAGTAAGTTTGGTTTATATTAGTGAAATATTCAATTATGATTGTTAATTAATATAGTACATTTTTCAAAGTTAAAGTGATTTTTAAAAGGAACAAAGTAAGCCAAAACAACATGCATGTTTAACCTTTATTTGAAGCTGTTCACCTAGAGAATGTAACTGTTCCAATACAATTTTCTCATGCATATCTATTTTCTGCCGAAGTTCATTTGCCAATGCCCTAGAAGGTAAAACAATTTTATTTTATTTATAATTAATTTAGGCCTATAATAAATTTATAATTAATTAATTGTATCTTACATTGATCCTCCCCTTAAGTCTTTTTTTTTATCATTAAATTATTCCCCAACAAGCCAATTTCACTCCTCCCCAACCTAATTTCACCTGTGGATAAAAAAAAAAATTGTACATTCTTAAGCATCTGCCTTACCACTTAAGAAAAACTACTATTACCTAATTTCTTCCTCTGCTCTATGTAATGAAGATTTGAGGAGAATCTCTGCTGATGTTTCACTGGTGGGAACTACATCAGAACACTTGTCTTTGAAAGAATGAAGTTTGGAAATCAGCTCTGCCACATCTTCATTCAGTGACTTGCTTGCTTCCGATATTAACACACAATGTTCACATTTTCTGTGTGTACTTGCAAAACACTGTTGAAATAAACAAAGATGTCTTTAATTTAAAATTTATTTTAATAAATTAATACTATGTTCCCTACTGTAATAGTAATTATTTTTTTAATGGCATATCAGTTTTGATGATAGTTGTGAATTATACAGTATTTGTTAATGTAAATAGCCACTTGTAATTTCTAACCCTTACTTTATTCAATAACGTCTTTATGGTATGTTTTAATTTTGTTAAAATGAAATTATAAATTTCAGAGCAATTTTGAAATAGCAAAGGTTTTACTTTAGTAGAAATAAGCACATTATTTTAACATTAGTGACATATATGTATGAAGGAATTTGGGCCTACTTATGACTTATATCCATACTGTAGGGCAGAAAACAGATCCAATTCTCAGACTTTTACTTTTAAGGTCAATTTTCAATTTTGTTGCTTAACAATCGAGGAATTCAGGAAAAAAAATTAATAGCACTAGACATTTACATCATGTTCAAAATATAGATTAACAACACTCACTCTATTGAAAACTTTTTTCACATTTCCACGAAGTGAGGTCTAAAAATCCACGAACTTCACAATATCAAAAATATAATTACACAGAAGTATCACTAAGGCATAAACTTATTTATAATAATGTCAAACTTTACAAAATATACCAGTTTATAGATTGATTTTTTTTATAATTATTCTTGAAAAAAAAGACCACCCTCCTTTAAAAAAAATTATCTAAGTTTTGGCTTTTACAAACACTATGGGAAAAAAATATTACACAGTTAAATATATATGAAACATTATTAGTAAAATATGTCTATAAGCCAATTTTTATTATAGTTGCAGCATTTACATGGCTAATTATAATTGTTTAGTACTTTAATCATAAATTAAAAGTTACGACTGTCCGTGGTCTAATTCAAATACTGCAGTGTAGGGTTTTACGCCTTAGTACGATTTTAATTGAATTGGTAGCCTAATGAACAGAATGTATAATTAGAACTGGTCCATATCCAATTTTAATGATAGATGCAGTCGTTATAATGCTACTTATAATAGATCAAATGACTTCAACATAAGGCCTAAGAATCTTGGACACGATTGTCAAATACATCTAGATCTAAATAATTTTTAAAATAGGCTAGATCTAGAAGCAAAATCACTTTTAAAAACAGAAGTTTGTGATTAGAACTATATTGAAATTGAAATCCACTACTAATATGTAAGTATATTATTTTACGTTTTAAAACAAAAAATAAACTTAGTACTAAAAAATAAATTTGCGCCGTACTCGTTCCTCATCTCAAAACGTGTCAGCCATTGCATACGTGGTCATTTACTCAGCTTCTTACCAATATGTCTAATTTTAATCATATATAATAAAAGTAGATCATCCTAAATAAGTAAAATTGGGACCCATTTCCACAACAGCTGTCACTTGATTCATAGTTTACATAGTTATGAAGCTATACTTTCTTTTGGCTATAGCTTTAAATAAATATTAATTCACTATTTTTCATGTGTTCGAACAATTGTGCCCAATTTTATCTATGAATAAACATTAGAATAGAAAGGGCTCAGTTATTTTTAGAATTAGCCCTCGACACTATTGCGAAGAAACAGACTTGCGCATAGGTCGTGCGAAGGCTGGCTCAGTGTACAAAGGTTATAAACTATTTCAGACAGAAAATTTTCACTTTGAAATAACTACATTATCAATTAAGTTTGATTTTTTAAAAATGGTTTAAAGTTAAAAGTAAACTTAAAATTTAAAATAAAATAAAATAATCCTAGGCGTTTGTTTAAAAAGTTTAAAAAATTGTAAAAATAACTTTTTCTTACATTATCATTTACAGCATTCATTTCTTAATGTAAAACATCCATTTAATGTAATCAAATTATAAAAATAATTGTTCCTTGCTAATTTTAGATGTAAATGTAAACCCAAGGAGATCCATTCCGACGTGATTTGCATACTTCGCGTCCTTCACAGAGAAGGCATAAAAATATCAAAAACAAATTCCACAAATACATTGCCCACGAAGCTTCCAAAGATATTGTTCTATCTATCAATATCAACAAAATCACCAAACAATGTCTGATTAAGAAAATAATCAATGGCGAAGATAGAATATGCATTTAGCAGTACAAATCTGTTTTCTGCCCTATAGTGTACAAAGTATGTTTTGGCTATATGGGATATCTTCTGAGTCGCTGGTCACAAAACCAGACTCGTTTTTGTGTTCTAGACTAAGTTTTTGTGTTCTAGACTTCAGATGAGTGTAAGGGTGAAAGTAAATCAAATACCTAAGGCCTAAGGTGGCTTTAGTGTGTAATCAGCCCATCCTATATTAATATTACTTAATTATTAATTATTATTTATTTAAATTTATTATATTAAATTTAATAATAATGGACCCGGCTGAGTATAGTCTCAAAGGTATTTGAGAGGCCCATTAAATATTTTTAAAATCATACACGGCGTAGTTAAAATAAATCTATATATATATATCTATAAAGCAATGTATGATTGTGTGTGTGTGTGTGTGTCTGTCTTTTATGCATTACTACACCTCTCACCACATCGATGTGAAACTTTGGGAAGTTGTTGTGAATATTCCTGGTAAGGTTTCTGCAGAGAAAATTTTTTCAAATTCGCAGGGGTAGCGCCCTGGCAGGGCGCAATTTGTTTTTTCTCTAAATACGGTATATAAAAATAAAAGTCGATTTTGGTTTGACAACGTTCATCCGATAGCGATGAGACTTTGGGGAGTTCATTATAACACTCTAGGGAAGGGTTCTGTAAAAAAAAAAATTTTTAATTTCGCAAGGGCGGCGCCACGGGAGGGTGCGATTTTTCTCAATATACGGTATATAAAAATAATAAAGTGAATTGCAGTGACACCGCTCATCCGATAGGCATGAAACTTTGGGGAGTTCCTTATAAAACTCTAGGGAAGGGTTCTGTAAAAAATCATTTTTAATTTCGGAAGGGCGGCGCCATGGGAGGGTGCGATTTTTCTCTATATACGGTATATAAAAATGATAAAAGTGAATTGAGGTGACACCGTTCACACGATCGCCATGAAACTTTGGGAAGATGTTGAGAATATTCCTGGGGAGTTTTCTGCGCTAAAAACATTTTCAAATTCGCAAGGGTGGCGCCCTGGCAGGGCGCGATTTGTTTTTTCTCTATATATGGTATATAATAATAAAAGTCGATTGCGGTCTCACAACGTTCATCCGATAGCCATCAAACTTGAGGGACTTGATTAGAATACTCCAGGGAAGGGTTCCGTAAAAATTATTTTTAATTTTGCAAGGTCGGCCCCACAGGAAGGTGCGATTTTCTCTATATACGGTATATAAAAATAAACGTCGATTGCGATTTCACGGCGTCCATCCGATCGCCATCAAACTTTGGGGAGTTGATTAGGACACTCCATGGGGTTTCTGTAAAAAAAAACTTTTTTTTTAAAATTTCGCAAGGGCGGCTCCACGGAATGGTGGGATTTTTCTCAATATACTGTATATAAAAATAAAAGTCGATTTTGGTTTGACACCATTTATCTGATCTCCATTATACTTTGGGGAGTTGATTAGAACAATTCAGGGAAGGGTTCTGTAAAAAATACTTTTTTTTACTTTCGCAAGGGCTGCGCTATGGAAGGGTGCGATTTTTCTCTATATACGGTTTATAAAAATAAAAGTCTATTTCGGTTTCACACCGTTCATCCGTGTACCATGAAACTTTGGGGAGATGCAAAAAAAAATATTTTTTAATATTGCAAGGACGGCGCCCCCGGGGGGAGCGATTTTTTTCTCTATACACGGTATATAAGAAATAAAACTCGGATGCGGTTCATCCGAGTGTCATGAAACTTTAGGGAGTAGATGAGAATACTCCCGAAAATATTTCTGCGAAAAAGAAAACTAAGAGCGCCCCTCTACGTCCCTGACACATGGGTGGTCACCGAAGTGTGTTCTACCTCATTATTTCGGTGAGTGATTAATGTCCACTCAAGGTTTTCATGCTGTAGTGTAGGTAAACCCCTGTCCCGATATTTATGATCCAAGCGCAAGCATTGTTTACATTTAAATAACTCACTTTTAGAAAACAAGGTCACAAGTCTAAGAATATAGGATTGGTAACGCATGGATGAAACCCTTCTTATATATTTCATCGGACTTTCTTCTATTCCCGCGGCAACGTGCGGGGACAGGTACCCTAGTATGGTTATAATATCCTGTTAGTCTGGTTTTTTTTTGGACTTTACTAAAGATTGGATGTATTTGATGTTTTTAATATTTTCGGTAACCAAATAAAATTGGTTTTCACGTGCAATGGTGACATAAACAATAGCATCCTGCTATTCGATAGGTTAGCATACATTTTATTGTACACATTGTAAGTGGAAAAAAAGGAAAAACTAGGTCATGGGATTAAAATTTGCATTGTTATTTAAAAACTTTATCTGCAAAGTTTTGTAAACAAAAAACTATGATGTGGGGCTGCAGAAATAGATCACGGAGCTCCTGTACAGCCAATCAATGCTTGTATTATGAAAGTGAAACATCGGGTTATAACTTAGGCTTGATAAAATAAAAATAAAGAGAAATGTATGTAATGTAGCCTTAAATGGAGTTGCAACTTTTATAATATAACATTGATTCTAAAAATATAAATATTATAATAAAAATATAATACATAGGCCTATCTGATTTATTTTTAGTTTTTAGGCTTAAGTTTATATTTTTTATTATTTTTACAGCCACTTTTTGATAGCAAAATCTAAAAAAGCACGATTTTAATCCATGTCAACAATAAGATGGAAGGATTCTCGTCAACTCGGTCGCCTCCATTAATAATTTATAGTATTTCTCGCTAACTTGGAGGCGTGGTCGGTTGCTAACAACAATATGGCGCCCGGACCGGACGTTTGATTTCCGGCGATTTTACGGCCAAATTCCAGAGACCTTCAACTAATTACATTTAAAAATGTTTACCACGCGCAAAATGGCGGGATTTCCGTGTCATTACAACAAACCATAAGTGGCAGGGTTAGATATGCCAGAAAAGCATTTTAAAATTTGGTTTGGAGAACGGAGGCTAAATTCAAAAGTCGGTCTCATTCAAATTAATAGAACTTCTAAAATATCAGCCCGGAGGTCACAAAAATGAATTGGAGGTTGTAGAATTATTAGTTTTATCATTATATGAAGAAATAAATCAAATATTGCATGCACTTTTTAAAATAAGACACGACTTTTGAATGACAACCAAATTTATTTATTTTTTTAAACCACGTGACCGCTATTTGATGATCACTAGTGGGGAACTCTGGGTACATGGCCACTTAAAAAGTCTAACCTATTTGTGGTTTTCTTTACGTTCAAGCTTAAGTAGAGTTGTCATGGAGAGGTGTGTTGGCCATGGCAGTGAGTGTCAATAAATATTAAATTAAGTTTTATTTAGTTTAAAATGAACTAAAAACTTCAAAATTAGTTTCTAATGGATTAAATATAGATGTCTATCATTCAGTAGTCATGTTTAATTTGAAATTTGAGTAAATTCTAGATTTAGTAAGAAAAACTAATAATTTATTAGCCTATAATTAGTATAATTATATTATTAGGTATAAAATAATTTTATTAACTATTAACCTACCTCACAGCTGATTTTGACTGAGCTGAGAGAAACTGAGAGATGTATCAATAACTAACTAAACTAATAACTAACTATCAGTATCGAGTATCAATCAGCAGTATCATTTATTGGTAATCTATCGTTTTGGGTACGTAAAATCGCCCGCGGCTATTAATGTACGAAAAAGTTACCTCATTGTCAAGGCTTTAGTAGAAGTATATTGTGATATATTTGTGTCAAATATTATAGATAAATGAATAATAAACCTAAATCAATGGCTAAATATATCAATATATGCCAGAAATTAACTTTAAACAGCAGTGTTTGCAAGCAAGATTTGCTATATAAACAGCAGCCATTTGTAAAATAGAGTGACTTCCGCCTGTCTCGCGCTATATCCGCTATAAAAAAAAACTTAAACAAGATGGCTGCTATAGTAAATGAGCATGGTTGCATCTGTTGGAAACATCGCTGGTCTTCATTTATTACTGAAAAGTTTTAATTCAATTGTTTAAAAACAGGTACATAAATGAAAGAAGGAAACATTTTTGTATTTTTCAAAACATAAATCCTCCTCAAAATGTGAAATAATTATTAAAATTTAAGGAGTCACCTGTTTTTCACATTACTAGTCGCGGGCGATTTTACGTACCCAAAACGATAGATTACCCATTTATTCATTGTATGAAAGTATGAACAACACACTTTTTAAAAACTAGATCCAGATTCTAGATCTATAATATTCTATAGGCTACTGTTACAAAATAGAGAACTAAAAATTGCTGTTTTAACAGAATAATAGGATCAAAGATAAAATACTTGAACACAAACTGGATCCTTGCAATCCAAGCAATACATTTTGATGTCTTCTTCATGTTTGATACATTTCTGTGTAATGTTTCGTTTCATGACGTTCTCAATAGATAACTTTTTTAACTCTTCAAGGGAAAGAACTGTGTGATCTGATGTTGTTTTCCCGCATAAATGAATCTGAAAGTCGTTCATTAAAAAAAAGATTACAATTTCGGTTTAGGATAAAAAATGCGTGAAAGAAAACAGATCTATATACTATATAATGAAACTGACAGTATAACTTAGTATACAATTAACGAAAATATATAAGGCCCTACAAATAACATCAAACAAAAGCTAAGTTGGAAGATCTAGAAGAATTTCTACATTTTAATTTTTTTAAAATGATCATTATCACATAATAATGGACACATAACATTAACAATAAACAATCTGAATAGTTACTTTTTTTTAGTGTTAGTTTGCAGTCTTATTATTAGATCTATATCTAGATTAATAAAGATGTAAAATCTATAGAATCTCGATTTTGAATAATGGAAGATACTGTTTATTATTAAATCTATGTAAAGAAAAGCATGTTTATTCATGGCCGGGAATTTTACATAGTACATACATAACGCCAAGCTATTAATTTTGACGTTTCCTACTATCTACCTCCACAACGTCCCACTCATAGATCTACATCAGTACATCGTATCATAAAGATCAGGCACACCTCTGACGTTACCTCTAAGTACCCCCTCCTTCCGCCCCCTCCCAAAAAAAACCCTATTACTCTTTTTGACAGCCATTGCTTTCTAAAATAAGAATTAAAGGATTGGGCTGTATCAATTACATCAGATGAATTGTTAAACAATTTAATTATAATTATAGCAGTTCGTAAAACAAAACAATTAAAATTATTAAAATTACCTTAACGCATACTTCGCATAGGGCGTCATAACATTCCATGCACCAGTCCAAAGCAGGCACAGATATATCCCCACGTTTGCAAATATCACATGATTTCTCTGATCTACAGTATATTATCATCAATTAATACATTTATTGTTTCGCCTTTTTTCGCTTTTCAATTTCAAAGATGTATTTAGGAAATATTAGCCACAAACACATAGCTTAAGGCAACAATGCACAAAGAAACATACCTTAAGGCTACAATACCCAAAGACACACATGTCAAGATTATAATACCCAAAGACACACAAGTCAAGGCCACTGCATAAAGGCAACAAACACTATAGATACAAACATCCTATGGCTGAAGTACCCTATGGTATAGCTACTAACATCCTATGGCTGCAGTGTAGCTACTAACATCCTATGGCTGCAGTACCATATGGTATAGCTACTGACATCCTAAGGCTGTCGTACCCTATGGTATAGCTACTAACATCCTATGGCTGCAGTATAGCTACTAACATCCTATGGCTGCAGTACCCTATGGTATAGCTACTAACATCCTATGGCTGCAGTATAACTACTAACATCCTATGGCTGCAGTACCCTATGGTATAGCTACTAACACCCTATGGCTACAGTACCCTATGGTATAGCTACTAACACCCTATGGCTACAGTACCCTATGTTCTCTACTATTTTTTTTTAACCCTCTGATTCCAGACCTACCGGAATGCATCTACAATTTCTACCAGTTTGCAGGTGAATCGATCGACCTTGACCTCTAAATGAGCGTCGATCTTGTTTTCCCCAGCAACAATAATCTGCGCAGAACACGTGGGACAGGGAAAGCTCTTTTGTCCATTTTCACAAACCTAAACAAAAATAGAGGACATAGTCCATTTTCACAAACCTAAAGAGAACAGGGCATTGTACATATTCACAAACGTAAATTACAAGGCATAATCTAACCATTGTATCATACACCATATCATACTCTAAGCATTGTATCGTACACCATATCGTACTCTAAGCATTGTATCGTACATATCATACTCTAAGCATTGTATCGTGCACCACATTATACTCTAGCATTGGATCATACACCATCTCATATTCTAACCATTGTATCGTACACCATATTATACTCTAACCATTGTATCGTACACCATATTATACTGTAACCATTGTATCGTACACCATATCATACTCTAACCATTGTATCGTACACCATAGCATACTCTAACCATTGTATCGTACACCATAGCATACTCTAACCATTGTATCGTACACCATATTATACTGTAAGCATTGTATTTTACATAACACCATACTCTAAGCATTGTGTACCGTACACAACCCTATATACTAACCACTATATCGTACACCATTCCATATGATGCCTCTGTAGAAAGGAACACGTACTAAAACTCTCTCACTATCCTAACCCTACAGTGCTATACCTATTTTGTCGAGATTGGGTTTACGTAAAGTGTTTCTTCCAGACTTTTTAGCGCAATTTCCATACTGGGATTGCGATTATTAATTCGTCATTTCTGGATGGATGTGTGTCCGCAGCTTTAAGTCGTATCTCCTCCTCAACGAAGCAATATCGAGGACTAGTTCCAAAAGCAAATACGTTAAGCAAGTTCCGAGGATGATTGTGGGCCAAAAAAATTCCCGGAATTCCTTCCTGGATTTCCCGGAAAAGCCAAATAACCTCGAAAAATGCAGTTTTTGGCCCATATCTCGGCAACCAGACCACTTAGCGACTTGAAACATTTACCAATCGATTCCTGCCATAATTTAGAACAATATTGCAGAAGAAAGTTTTCAAAAATATCCTTTCGTTCGGTCACAAAAAATTAATTAAGGAAATTGCGCTTAAATTGTCACTAGACTTTTTATTAACTTGTTTCTCTGGGGGGAAGGAGGGTGCACTTGATATTTTCGGGGGGGGGGGGGGTCACTGGTAAAAGTATACATTTGCTATATAAATTGTCATTCCTCTGTGTAATTCTGTCATTGATTTCCCCCCCCCCCCCCACCCCCATATTATAATCTTCTATCTTGTCCACTAGTAATGACTTATCGAATAAACCGATAACATCTGGTTATTTATTGTAGAGTTCCTTTTGTTGACATCTCTAAAGAGCATTGTCTGTGTTAATAAAATTGTAATCTAAGTTCAAGCTACGCCATTTAGAGTCAAACAATCTGTAGTCATCGATTTTCTAAAGGTGTTAATAAAGTAAAGTAATCCAGAGGCGTAGCGAGGGGGGGGGGGGACATATGTCCCCGGGCGCCGACCTTGGGGGGGGGGGGGGGCGCCAAATTGAAAGTTTGACGGGGGGGGGGTGCAAATGAAAAGTTCGAGGGGGGTGCAAATCGAAAGTTTGAGAGGAGAGGGGGTGCAAATCGAAAGTTTGTCCCCGGGCGCCGGGAAGGGTCGCTACGCCTCTGAAGTAATCGATTTTTTTTTTAAGATTCCTTTTTCATGTAAATGTGTCTATAGGTGTGCATATATACAAGATTGGCATATATCATCTTCGTTTATATCTGTTATATTGGAGATTTCCTTCAACGCTTTCCTTACTTGATTTGCTTCCATACCCTTTAAAAATCACAAAATAATCCACAAGGCAGCAGTTTGTAGTTTGCGTTTTCTCTACTAGATAGGTAGCTTTCCCTAGCTAAAGAGCCTCATCTGTCCGGGGGTTTAAACTCGGGACTTGTGGCGTCATTATAACAACTAGCTTTACTTTCCTACAGCGTATATACCATCATTTGAGTATGTTTTATGGCGTTATTTTTTTCCCCTAGATGTATGACGCAATTTTGGGACGGACGCCATTTGGACCAGGTGATTGCGTTGTTTAAAAAGTATAAACAAATGAGGTTTAGAAATGTTAACATATTTGAAGAGTTGAGATCAACTAGAAAATTGTTATCAAGAACAGTAAAAAAAAACAACACCAGAGCAGGGTGATACTGATAAAAAAAATCGTAAACCAAGTTGTAATGATCTTCCTGGTCGATACGTCGCATCTATTTTTAAAAGCTTCATTAAGATGATGTGATAAATCGTTTTAGAATTCAGTTTGAGTAAATTATGAAATGAAATTTGAACCTAGATCAATTCTAAACTCAATTATCTGTACCCCCCCTCCACACACACACACACACAACAGGCTGGTCATGTGCTAACATGGGCATGTGCAAAGACGTTATTCAAACCTCACATCTTTACGTTGCCATAGTTTGTTGCCTTGCAACGCACAGTGCGTTTCTAAAGCATTCAAGTCATTCCTTTCACATCCCACCCCTTTACATCCCAGACCCTTCACACCCACCCCTTCACACCCCTACACTTCACACCCTACCCCTTCAAAACCCCAATCCCTCCACACACACCCCTCTTCATACCCCACCCATTCACACCTCACCTCGTTAACCCCACCACTTCACACCCCTCTCCTTCACACCCCACCACTTCACACCCCACCCTTCACGATTGTAGGAAAAAAAGTCACAACAAAATAAAAATAAAAGTCACGGGAAAAAAATCACAAATGTATATTTGCATGGAATTTGTTACTTAATATACGTATTATGCAAATCAACTTACGATTGATTAAATGTAATGTAAGCATGTTAGATATTTATGCGTGGGTTGTATACATATTTATAACACACATATCAGATTTTTAGTATATAGTATGTAGGATTTAATTGTAATTCCGTTTTACATATAATATTTAATAGAATTAAATACAATCTTCGAACTGTCTTGATTTCAATCGTGTTTGTTAAATATTAGCTTTAAATTATCGTTATATTGCATAAAGACGTAGTTAATGTGACTTGCTGCCCTCAACTCATCGCAATAATAGTTCAACCACCTTCATCCCACTCATTATTTAATAAGGCATATGATCAAAACAGAAAGCCGACAAAGTACCAAGGCTGTCATTGGCGCAAAACGTCAACAACACAGAATAAGGACGGACAAAGCCGACTGAGGAGAAACTGACCATGATTAGACCTACGGCGAAACCATATGCAAACACAATAATGAGCCTAAATTTATTTTATAATAATTTTCTTCCGTGTATTTAACTAAATACGTAACAAAATTTTAGGTTGCTATGTACATTATCTTACTGTATTTAAAGTCTACAAATATGCTACCGAAGAAATTACCGCGCACATTAATGAACACCCACATTTTACAATTATCAACAATAAAATCACAGTATTTTTACTTCCTCGTATATACGAAGTATAGAGAAAGTCTTGTAATCGTGCAAAAAAAAAAAAAAATCGAGATTTTTACAAATCTCGACGTTTTTCATCTCACTGATACGGAAAAACATAATTTTGCAATCTTGTCCGTATGTCTGTGTGTCTGTCTGTGTGTGTGTAAACGCGATAACTTGAGTACCGTTACAGCTAGGTTGATGAAATTTCATATATAAGTATTTTATCAAAATCGTAGATCTGTATCAACTTTTGAGCGATTTCCGATAAACGGAAGTGGTACTTTTTCTACTTTGAATTTTTCACAAGCCTATAACTTGAGTACTATTTCAGATAGATAAATGAAATTTCACAAGTAAGTAAAAGATCTAATTCTCTACCTTCTGTCATATTTTGAGTAATTTTCGTTGACCGGAAGTAGTAATTTACGCAATTTTTCGATTTCTCAAAAAACTAATGTAAATTTTTAAAGTACTAATAATATTGCGCACTATTATGCACTTTTTTATTTGGCGTTCACTTGGTGTGCAATTCTTTTGTCTACGAGATTTTATTCTATTTTTAAAACTTTAAGTATTTAAAATGGATTAAAAATCATGTCTATAGCCCGAGTTCCCATCCCCTGTTATTTTATATAAGAACATTCGAGAAAGTTTAGGGGAGATCACTCCCGGTTTATTTAGAATATTTTTGTGACTTGTTTCTGTAACTTTATTTCTGTGACTTTTTTTCCAATAAAATTTTTCTTTTGTGACTTTTTTTCTGTGACTTTTTTCTGTAACTTTTTTTCCTAGCAAAAATTATGACATTTTTTCTGTGTTCTTTTTGTGTGTGACCTTTTTCCGTTCACCCCCACCCCCACCCCTTCACACCCCACCCCTTCACAGTGCGCATTATATCTTTTCTAAGAACAATCCTAACACTAACCTTCTGTGTAATGTACGACTCTAAACAAGGCGTGCAAAAGGTGTGAAAACATGTCAACATTCGCGGTTGTTTGAACACTTCGCGGCACAGGCTACACGTGCAGTGTGTATCCAGCAAACTCTGTAATCTATTTAAAAGAGAACGCAATAGGGCTGGTAAGTAGGTCACCAACCAGTTCTATGGCTCATGCAGGTTTTATTGAGCCGTAGAACTGGTTGGTGACCTACTTACCAGCCCTATTATTCACACACAAAATTTAGATTGGTAGGCTAACAAAAAACATCATACTGCTAAAACATACTTATTTGTTCTGCTTCAATGCCTTGAATCTGCCCAGTTTTTAAGTTTAGACTATCCAGTCTCAGAATCTACACAGTTTAAGAATCTTTGAAAAAAAATTATTTTGGAATATGCCCAGTTTGAGAATTTTAAACTGGTTATTTTGATAGTTTGTCCAAAATTGGAATCTGGCAAGTTCTGGCAAGTTTTCGAAACTTAAAGCGTCAACTGTTAGAAACTTCAAAACATTAAACTGCCCTCTTTAGAACTCACGTAACCAACACTGTGCACATTAAGAAAAAAAACACATCTTTTTTGTATCATACATAAACGAAGTTGCATTCCTCCATAAATAAACAAAGCATTATAGAAGTTCACTATTTACATATTTAAACACATCGATCAACTAGTATGAACTACCATGCATTAAAAAAAAAAGTCACAATGTATAAAAGTAAAAGACTTACTTTTCTCCACTAGCCATTTCAAATGGTGGATCACTGCAACATATAAAAAATAATTACAATTTTATATTATTACTTTCATATTCATGCACGGTTCTAATAATAGTACCCCAGTTCAGAGGCGTAGCAAGGGGGGGGGGGCGGACCGCACCGGGTGACACCATTTAGGGGGGTGACACCAAGGCAAAAAAATAGCAAAATATATAACGAAAAATGATAATTACACTTAATTGAGTGATTAATTCGAGTGTTAAATAGTCTTTTAAGAGGTGCAAATCGAAAGTTTGAGGGGGGAGGGGGATGCAAATCGAAAGTTTGAGTGGGGGGTGCAAATCGAAAATTGAAAGTTTGTCTCCGGGAAGGGTCGCTACGCCTCTGGGGGGGGGGGGGGTTGACACCCGACCTCGCTACGCCACTGCCCCATATTTTGGGTTTGGCATAGATTATAGAAACTAGTATACTGAATGGTAGGAAATGATACTTAGGTGGTATACTAATTCAACGATCCAGGACGACTAGGCCTATATTTGAGATAGAGTTTTGTAAATCTAGTTATATAACAAGTACTCTATCCCAGTACTGTAGAACAAATAATTTAGACTTGATTTATAGGCAACATGTTTGTTTGATCTAACACGACCACGCTTTAGCAAACATGTGAAGAACCTGCGCTGGGTTAAAAAAAAATGAACACTAGTCTACACAAAGCCAAAGCTATATGCGGATCGTGTAGGCGTCAACTACCAACAAATAATCACATACTCTTCAAAACTGTCACCTCTTCCATTATAAAGCAACATTCAACCCCCACCAACAAACGAACGTGTAAATGCGAAAAAAGTATTTGTTTACAAAGTCAGCCCGTAAGACCCTCCAAGAGTCTCTATTAATGGCAACGTCAACAACGCTACATGGCCTAGTTCTAAATATAGACACAGCAGCGATCGGTGGTCGCTGGTTTTCCACTTTCAATGGACGAGTTTATCGAACGGTGTGAACCTTTCTATCAATATACCCGCTATTCATTATCTACCTAGTATTTTTGTCCTTCTTTATCCTGCTTTAGGTGGCGATTCTAGTTACTCCGACAGAAATAAAGTTAGCCAGTTATTTTCCAAAGTAATGCATAGACCTATACATACATACACCCACACATACACCCACACTCACACTCTTATATATATATATATATATATATATATATATATATATATATATATATATATATATATATATATATATATATATATATGTGTATATATAAATATATATACATATATATATATATATATATATATATATATATATATATATATATATATATGTGTGTGTACATATAAATATATATATATATATATATATATATATATATATATATATATATATATATATATAAAAGTAAAGTTCCCTTTTTAGCATCTTTGATGAAGAAGAGCCCATAATGTATTTTGACCAAGGCATATGAATGAAGGGAAGGTGTGGCCAGCACTATGCCCATTCGCCTTTACTTGTATCAGGTACCAGCAGAGCTGGGTGGACTCAGGCCTCAACTCAAGGACGAGATCCGAACTCGAGACGTATAGGCTCGTCGTCGATCGCTCGACCTCACCGTCCCTTAATTTAGTATCTGCATAGACTCTCATAGGGTCTAGAATTTCTCAATGGAGTAAAGCCAAGAAATAATTATTTTAACAAGCAACCTTGGCTGTGACTTATTTCAAAACAATTATCTCGTGGTACAATGGCACAATGGAGATCACCGAAAATTGATCACCGAAAAACGATCACCAAAATCGATACAGCGTCGTTGTTTTACCAGCATGATTGACTAGATACGATCCTATCGGAGATATCATCTTTTGAACCCAGCGACATCTAGCAGTAAAAAACCCGATACTATACTGCTACACAGACCCCATAAATCACGCTTGTTAGATTTCACAACACACCTACTGCATACCTACAACTAACGGCTTTACACCTGTCAGCTTTTATTCATTTAAAATTTAATCCCCACGGAGTTGTTCACATAAAAATTAATATTCATGACACGGTTTCCTTTGTCCCACACAAAAGCAAACAAATTGTGAATTTGTTTCGTTGTGTTCTTTACTCTAAAGCTAAATATAAATCTTTTAAACATTCCGGCTACACAAAAGTAAACGATAAATCTTCGCCTTGGTCGAAATTTAAGAAGGAAAAAAAACTCGCTTTACTGGATAATTGATAGCGAACTTGCTATGCTGTGGTTTTATCATTCCCCTTTTATGAAAATCAATACATTTCCTTCGCATAAGATAAGGTTACAAAAGTAACCGATAAATATTCAATAACTATTTTTTAATTTATCGTTTTCAAAAATATGTTTACCTCATTGAGGAATGTACTTAGTCAAATATGATATGGCAAATATACATATACATTTTTAAAAAGCCGGCTAATAAAAATAGAAGCTTCGATCTTCCGATCGAACGCTACTGTTGGTCGATATCGTATTTAGGTAATCGATGTGTTTATGCAGGGAGAAAAGTGTCCGTTTCAGGGTTTATCTAAAGCTGCGTTATTCACCGTTTGTGCAGTGCTTCTTCCAGACTTTTTTCTCCGGGGT